GAATGAATTGGATTTAAAGCGACACTGTCCTGTCCAACTTTCAATTAACCTGTGATCTATCTCTCTCTCTCTATCTTTTTGCAGGTAAACAAAAAATCTACTGTGCGAAATGCACGAAAAAGTGCTCCGGCGAGGTGCTCCGTGTGGCGGACAACCATTTCCACAAGGCCTGCTTCCAGTGCTGCCAGTGCAAGAAGTCGCTGGCCACCGGCGGATTCTTCACAAAGGACAGCGCCTACTACTGCATACCGGACTACCAGCGGCTGTACGGCACCAAGTGCGCCAATTGCCAGCAGTACGTCGAGGGCGAGGTGGTCAGCACCATGGGCAAGACGTACCACCAGAAGTGCTTCACCTGCTCCAAGTGCAAGCAGCCCTTCAAGTCCGGCAGCAAGGTTAACTACTATTCTATTTGTATTAACTTGCTAACTCCATTAAGCCCAACTAATCGCTTGGTAATCCTTGCAGGTAACCAACACCGGAAAGGAGGTGCTCTGCGAGCATTGCGTTTCGGGTGCTCCGGTGTCCCCCAGTCGCCAGTCGGCGGTCGGAGCTGGAGTGGGAGCGGGAGTGGGAGTGAAGGGCGGCGTCTCCTCGCCAGCTCCGCCGGCGGAGAGCCCCACGAGGGCCACTGCCCACCAGCAGCACGGCGGGGTGATCTCGCACAAGGCGCACCTGAAGGAGGACTACGACCCGAACGACTGTGCCGGATGCGGCGAGCTGCTGAAGGAGGGCCAGGCCCTGGTGGCCCTCGACAGGCAGTGGCACGTGTCCTGCTTCCGGTGCAAGGCCTGCCAGGCGGTGCTCAACGGGGAGTACATGGGCAAGGACGCGGTGCCGTACTGCGAGAAGTGCTACCAGAAGGGGTTCGGGGTGAAGTGCGCCTACTGCAGCCGCTTCATCAGCGGCAAGGTGCTGCAGGCGGGCGACAACCACCACTTCCATCCGACCTGTGCCCGCTGCACCAAGTGCGGCGATCCCTTCGGCGACGGCGAGGAGATGTACCTGCAGGGCAGCGCCATCTGGCATCCGCGATGCGGCCCGGGTCCCTCCGAGTCGGGCATCATCCTGAACGGCGGCGGTGGCAACACCTCGGTGGTCGGGGGCGCCTCCAACGGCAACTTCACGGACACCGAGTGCGACCGGATGAGCTCCAGTGCCCTTAGCGAGATGGTAGGTAGTCGGCTGTCCAGGAGGCGGTATCCCGAATAAAAAACAGCACGAGAGTCCAACACGAACCCGATTTTGAGGCGGCTGCTGAGCTTGCAACTAATTTGAATGCAGCAAAACTCACACAACACACCCACACTATTCCCAAAAAATAAACTAGGAGCAAGGTGCTCCACTTCGTACGAAGATCGGTGATATTTTAAAATATTTCAAGGAGAAATATCACCTACTCCAGTTAACCACACCTCCTTGCACACACAACACACACACCAAACACACATGCAATTTATGATTTTTTGATTTCAGTTCTTTGCATTTTAGTTGTTTTGAGCTTGCGTTTTTATTTTCCGTTCGTTTTCAGTACATCCGCTCCAGAACTCCGAGTTTTAATGGTTCACTTTATTCCTCTAGCCGCAAGGTTTGTTTTATGATTTCCTTTATGATTTCCCCTCATTTCTGCCATCGTTTTGATTGTACTAAAAACTCCAAAGAAAAACACACGGCACTGCATGTTAATGAAGATGTTTGAGTTGGGCACTCACTCCGCCTTTATTTGCAGCACTATCGAACGGTGAGTCCGGGTCTGATACTCCGGGAGTACGGACGACCCAATGCCGAGGACATTTCGCGCATCTACACGTACAGCTATCTGACGGATGCGCCGCACTATCTGCGCAAGCCCATCGATCCCTATGACAAGACCCCGCTGTCGCCGCACTTCCACCGGCCATCCTCGTACGCCACCACTGCCAGCAATGCGGGATCCGTCGCAGGAAGCCGTCCGCCGTCGCGTCCCCACTCGAGGACCCGCAGCGCGATGAAGGTCCTGGTGGACGCCATCCGCTCGGAGACGCCGCGCCCCAAGAGCCCGGGCATGAACAACGAGGAGCCGATCGAGCTGTCGCACTATCCGGCCGCCAAGAAGCCGCCACCGGGCGAGCAGCCCAAGATCGAGCGGGACGACTTCCCAGCTCCGCCGTATCCCTACACGGATCCGGAACGCCGGCGGCGGTACAGTGACACCTACAAGGGAGTGCCCGCATCGGATGACGAGGACGAGAACGTGGAGAACGGCAAGCAGAACGGCAAGGCCAAGAACGGCGAGGAGCAGCAGTGAGTGTTGAACGAAAGGATTGCAATCCGAACTCCATTATATCTTCTACCTTACAAACAGACGCCTTCAACGCGAAGCCGAGCAGCTGGAGAAGCTCAACTCGGGCATCGGTTCGGCGATCGCCAAGGACCTCAAGGAGCACGCCAAGTACAGAAAGTGGAAGCAGAACAACCTGGACCCGCGCAACGCCTCCAGGACGCCCTCCGCTTCCAAGGAGCCGTTGTACAAATTGAGGTAAGTTTTTCAAACATTCTTACTACAATCTTATTTGTTTTGGATTCGTATCGATAAGATTGCAATTGATAGATTGCAGCTAAACAACATTTGAATGAGTTGAATTTAGTTTTCTTATCTTAAAACAGATATTTGTTTTGGTTACTCCACATAAAACTGTGATAGTCACTAAATATATATTAGAAAGGATACCATTTTAGAGTAACTAAAAGTATCTTGTTTTTGCAGATACGAATCGCCCATTGGGGCCTCGCCCTCGCGCAATCTGGACCACCAGAAGCCCTTCTACGAGGACGAGATGTTCGATCGGTCGACCAGCTATCGCGGCTCGCTTGGCAAATCGCTGGGGAACGCGCCCAGTTACAATGGTAATCCTCTAGAGAGCTTAGCCTAAGTATCCCGTTTTTCAGGCGAGCGATTCGATACCGATATTATAAATAGCCCAATTACGTTTATAGCCATACATTCCTACCGATCGCCGCCCAAGCCCGGATACGGATTCAAAACGACGACTCTGCCCTATATACGCAATGGCTACAGCTCCGTAAGTGCTGCCTGTTGCTTTCGATCAGATATTAGGCATATATCTTGTTATCGGTGAAGGGCTGTCGGTTGTCTTGTAGCTTATCCACACTCTCTACCACTCGAACCTATACTATATGTAACCCCAATTAGTTATAACTGACGCTGTTCGTTTGTCTTTCTCTCACCTTTAAATGCCGCCTCTGGTTGCCCACTTGGATGAACTAACAATTTGCCTCAACTGGTTGGTCTGCTGCTTCATTGTGTGTCTTAATCTACCCACCTGCCCACACCACCCAATCTGCCACTCCCAAAACATCTATGTGTATGCTATTGTTGCCCTTGCCCCGAAACCAACCACAAAACAATCCACGAAACTAACACCCATCCACACTAACCAAACAACCAAACAACCGAACATTTGCATCATGAACATCAACAAATCAACATCACTTGAACATCACATCCACTCTGCTCAGTGGTGAGTGCGCTGCGCCATGTGCCCAAACCAGGATACGGCCTGGCACCACGCTCCCACACATTCAGCTCCACCACATCCGCTGCGGCCACGATGCATGGTGCCACTGTAAGACCGCTTTTGCCGTTGTTGTTGTTATGCCGTAGAGTCCTACGTTCCTTCCTTTTATTGTTTTGGATACCTCTTAGTTCTACTTTGCACTGGTTTTTGTTTGAATGCTCCTTGCATGTGAACTATAACATGGAATACACGAAAGTAACAGAATATCCCTTCTTTTTAAAAGGACTTCTCTTATGGAGGACTGGGCGACAAGACCCACAGCACAGATTTGAGCTGCGGCAAATCAGAAGGTGAGTTAAGGGACACTACTATAGGTATATTGGGTTAGGATATCCTGCTAATGATATTCCTCTTGCAGCATCTGTGGACTCGATCACCGAGGGCGATAGACGCGCCCTCATGGGCGGCGACCTGCCCCCCTCGAGCACTTACTCAGGAGCCCTCTCCTACCACTACCCGCAGGCCGGACTCATCCGACGCAGTCTGCCCAACATGGCACACTCGATGCTGGTGCACGAGCCGGCCAAGATCTATCCCTATCACCTACTGCTAATCACAAACTATCGTCTGCCCTCGGACGTTGATCGCTGTAACCTGGAGGTGGGTATTACCTAAGCGTCCCCTTAGATATACAATCAAAGGAATACTAATACACAATATTTATTTTTAGCGTCATTTATCGGACATCGAGTTTGAGCACATCTTGCAGTGCGCCAGGTCCGAGTTCTATAGGCTTCCCCAGTGGCGACGCAACGAGCTGAAGCGGCGGGTCAAGCTCTTCTAGGGCCCTTCAATTTGATGCCTCCGGATCCGAGGATAGCTGCCCAAGTGGAGGCTGTTTGCGACGAAACCAAAAGAATTCAACTTACCTTAACAGCAGCAGATGGTTATTGCATACATGGATGAGATGATAAAACAATATAAAATGAAAACGAAATGGGAAACTATGCTAATTTCACAGCCAGTTTTGAAACACGCTTTAAATAGTTCATGCAAGTGAAACCAACTAAACTAAATTTAAATACATAGTTACATTTACAGTGCGGAGCAGCTGGCAAGTGCAGCTCCAGTTTATTTTTTTAAGAATTAGTTGCGCTATCGCAAAATTGTAACTGAAAAACTATATGGATGGAACAGAAAATCCCAATAAAAAACCAAGTGTATACAGATTTAAATTAGTTAAACATTGCATGTCCGGCATGAAGGCTTTTTATACGCAATGCAATAGCATATTAATCGCAGCTATAAACTGGACTCTTTTTTTCTAAATTACTCTTTAATTGAAACATGTTTAAGGGCTTAAGAACCGAGAAATGCATCAAAGAATGAGAAATTAATGTACCTACAGCAGAATCACACAGCAAAAAGCGAAACGTTAGATGTGTGGCATCAAATTTACGCTAAATCAATATGCAAATTTTATTTATTACTAAATATTTTATTTATTTATTTAAATAGAATATGTCAAAGAATAAACCAGAGATAATAAAACAGGACAAAAGCAATGTCAACGTGTTTACAATTATTTAAACATTTGGAGTGTGGCGATTATAAATTAGCTTAATCCCTATTGGTGTTTTTTTTTTGTCGAATTGACAAAGAACGTGATTATATGGAAAGTATTGTGGAATGCTGAGTAATTTCTAATTTCACTTCAAGCGGAGTCAATTAGCTGAAAAACGACCATTTAGGTCTTAATTCGGTGTTTGTGTTCGGGACGCAATAAGTGACTGTAATGCAGAGTTCACAGAGTAAATACTTAAATATTGAACTAGATTTCACAGAACATCGAGATTATCTATATTGCACCATTGGTATAGCACTAGTTTTGCTTGTGCAGAGCCTCGTCAGTACGCAAACCGTATGTCAACTGGGTCTTCATCACCGCCAGACTGCTGCCAATGATCTTTTTGTGGTAAATCTGCCGCGTAACGAATCCAAAGTCGTCGTAAAAATCGCGCTCGCTTTCCTGCCACTCAGATATGGTGCATTCTAGGGAGGCATAGCTACCGGCAATGCAGTTTTTGACCACCAGCTTTATCATGGGCTCCATGATCGTCTGGCAGGGATAGTTAGGATCAAGGGCAAAGCGGTAGATCCAGGCCGCATTATAAACGGCATGGTGATTTTTCACGCTAATGGCGGCTACAATCCGTCGCCGGAACTTTCTTATATAGGCCTCTTCATATGGACAGTTTTCGATAAAGATCTGGTAGCTGGCCTCTTTGGGTGAGCAGCGGAAAATGAAGGGTTCATAGCACTCTGCCACCAAAGATTGCGAGGGCTTCGTCTAAAATGTGGTTTCCGTAAGTTAAAGTTATAAAGCATTTTATAGTACTTACCCTCATAAGCTCCACTGCCTTGGAATAAAACGAGAAGTAAGTGCCGGTGAAGAGACAGAAAATACAAGCAGGCACAGTAAGGGCGCAGAATAGCAAGGGAACTCCCAGAAATATGAAGAATATGGCCCAGGTAATGACTATAAACTGCAGGGTGATCTAAAAAGGTTTAAAAATTTAAATATAAATCCACGTAGGTAACAATTCTAACAGATCCCATAAAGATAAGTCACGCAGCCTTACCTCTCGAAAGCAATAGACGAAAAAAGACTTGTTGGAGAATGACATGATGTAGTCCCGCACCAGTTCCTGGCACTTGAGCTCATCATCTTGCGTGTAGTTGCGTATAACAATAAATGGCTGCATTAATGTATTATTAACCGATAAGATTAGCCAAACAAAATAAAAATAAAAACACTGCCCAATCAGTGTAACCAAATTGATGAAAAATACTAAAATTAAATGTTGGGTCGGCACAGCTGTTGTTGGTGGGTTGCCAGACCGTTAACGCCCATTTAGAGATGTAAGCGTGAAGTGGAATATGGCAAGTGGTTGTTCTATTTATATAAACTCTAAAAACACGGCATTCAACAAAAATGTTGTGTAATTTATTTAGTGCAGCTTGGCTTAAAAAAGCTTTTATGGCATTTTGTGGTATGGTAAAAGTTTTCGTTTTGTATGCCCATAAGGTTGTGGCTAGCCGTGAGCTAGCCCTGTCACGATGCCATCTCCTTTGCCAAACACTTTGACTTCGATCTGGCACTTTTTCTCATGACGTGTCGGCGAGCTTAACTTTATTTAAGAACCAGTCGGAAAAGTCACATCAAATAGCCAAAAATGCGCGACCAATTCATCAGCCTGGCCCTTCTGCTGTGTGCCCTTCACAGCGCCTGTGGCTTGTACTTCCACATATCGGAAACGGAGCGCAAGTGCTTCATCGAGGAGGTTCCGGATGAGACCACAGTGATTGGTGAGCGCCAGCCCATAGTGCCAACTTGGTGATTTGTTAACACGAATGCTTCCACCTCCGCAGTCAACTACAAGGTGGAGCTCTACGATCCGCGGTCTAATGGATTTATGCCTTCGTCCCCCGGCATCGGAATGCATGTAGAGGTGCGCGACAGCGACGACAAGATTGTTTTGTCCCGCGTGTACAGCTCTCAGGGACGTATCTCTTTCACGTCGCACACGCCCGGCGAGCATGTCATCTGCATGTACTCCAACAGCACCGCCTGGTTCAGTGGCGCCCAGCTGCGCGTCCACCTGGACATCCAGGTTGGAGAGCACGCCATCGACTATGCCAATGTGGCGCAGAAGGAAAAGCTGACCGAGCTGCAGCTGCGCATCCGCCAGCTGCTCGACCAGGTGGAGCAAATCACCAAGGAGCAGAACTACCAGCGCTACCGTGAGGAGCGTTTCCGCCACACCAGCGAGAGCACCAACTCTCGAGTACTCTGGTGGTCGCTGGCCCAGACCGTCGTCTTGGTCTGCATGGGCTTCTGGCAGATGCGCCACCTGAAGAGCTTCTTTGAGGCCAAGAAGCTGGTGTGAGGTGCTCTTGGCTGCGAGTAGCAATAGCATTGTTCCGTGTGTTTTCCCGTCATTTGGCAGGATTTGCGAATTTCATCGATGGATCATCATCAAACAACCAGCCACAGGCCTCGACTCCAAGCACGTTTAGTTTTAATTTCTTGTGCGTAATTTAATAAAATCCATTGTACAAAAAGAGATCCAGACTGTGCACCCCCGCATCCTATCTCTGCTAGGTCAGACCGCCAGTTAGCTGAGCCTGGTCCCGTGACTGCGAGCGTGGCTTGGTCTTATCAGCGTCCTCAGGCAGATAACCTGTGGCGTTGGCGTTAACTCCCTAGTTTTAAGATCGCGCTGCATCGTGACTGCAGCGGCCGGCATCGACCGCCCTTTATCTCGTTGTTTGTTCTGCCGGAGAGCAGTCGTCGTTAGTACCTCTTGGACCGCCCTGTGCAGCGGTCGTCAGTCGCGGCACCAATTCGTTGCCCAAACAATAGAGCTTGTTGTGGCACAGCGAACGCAACCACCGACGACGACCCACAAAAGCCGCAGCTCTGTAACTCGATCCAGTCCGAGGCGCTTTCGAGTCAACAACTGGCCCAGGTCTCTGCTCCCTCTCCGGTTCAGTTCATTTACGTCGGATTAGCCGTGTAGGCTGTTTAAAATGTATCGCGCTACGGAAATCGGCAGCGAAGAAAGTGAGTCTGCGGGGAGATAAGATAAGACAAGATTTAAGGTAAAACAACCCTTTATTTTAATGAAGCTCTGCCAGCTCTGGCGGAGCTCACCTATGAAAAGGAGGCACGGGACATTGAGTGGAGCAGCTGGAGGGGAGAACGAGTCCGGTTAAAGCGAGCCCATCGAAGCTCCCTGCCCAACTATGGCTTTGCTCCTCCGCCGGTACGATTGGAGTACAGATATCCGCGCGCTGTTTTCTTCGTTCTGGCCACAAAGTTCTTTGAGGCCTTTGCAGCCAACGGCATTCGCAGTAAGTTAAATAATGTATGGTTTCGGGTGGAGTACAAATACCTAGCTTTGTCTCGTCGAAAAATTCCGAAAACCAGGCTTATCAGTGGCACAAAAAGACAAACACAGGGAGGTCTTATTGACAGCCATGCGGACTGAGTTGCATTATATTAGAGGCATAGATAAGGTGCAAGGAAAGCAGGTTGAACCCGGCAAAAGATTTGGATCATCAAGAGCCATCTGTATGCATATAACACACTTTGTATATAATGATAGAAACAGTCTCTTAGGAAAGCAAATACATATGTGCACCTTTATACTCTTATGTTCCATTAGACATATTACAAGTGTCACTTTCTCTATAATCAATAAAAGATTTTCTTAAGATAGAGCATCTTAAAAATTTTCCGAACCACTCTCGAAGTCTCGATTGCGACGACCTTCGTTTCATGGTCAATACATCGAGATAATGCATTACTCAATTCGATTCCAGCCGTTCTCGCCCTCTATCTGCGCGACGATCTCAACTTCACCCAGAGCTTCTCCACGGTGGTGCTGCACATCTTTAACTTCTTCGGCCAGTTTTGTCCGATCATTGGTGCCATCCTGGCGGACAGCTATATGGGCAATGTGCGGACGATCTCAGGATTCAGTTTTATCTACGCATTTGGTTGGTTTCTGCTTGTTCTGACATCCCTGCCCGGCATGGGACTCCCCATGGTGTAAGTATAGCCAGTAGCTAATTTAAGTCCTTACCCCTTAACACTTTTATCCTTTAGCCTCCTTGTCTCCATCGCCTTGTTATTTGTCGCCGTGGGCAATGGCTCGATCCGGGCCTGCATTACCTCCCTAGGTGCTTTGCAATTCAAGCTGCCAGAGCAAAGTGTCCATCTTGCCGAGTACTTCTCCTTCTACTATTTCGTCTATTATTTTGGCATCTTTCTAAGCAAGATCGTCCCGCCATTGGTGAGGGCCAACACACAGTGCTTTGACAAGGCGGAGTGCTATCCGGCTGTATTCGGCACCTTGGGCACTTCTTTCTTGGTGGCCTGGAGTGAGTAACTATTCATTGTTAATCATAATCATCTTATTAAGAAACTTTGCGATGAAGTTATTTTTTTGGCGGGCAAATACTACTACAAGTCCGAAAAGCTGGCCGATGACAATATCCTCTTCAAATTCTGCGGCTGCATTAAGACGGCTCTGGTGGAGAAGTGGCGACGGCGAAAGTCCCTCAAGCGCTCCAGCTACTGGCTCCACAATGCAGTTGGAGCCTATGATGAAGGCTTCGTCAACGATGTTTCCAGAGTTTTGAGGGTATGTCATTTAATAGTTACGTAGCTTTAAGATAATGTTTATATATATTGTTTTACAGATATCCAAGCTGTTCATTCCCTTGCCCTTTTACTTTGCTCTGCTGGCGCAACAGGACTCAAGCTGGACCTTTCAAGCCACTCAGATGAACACCACAGTTCTGGGCGTGACTATCCAACCAGATCAGGCCAAGGCCGTGGGTCCAATCTTTCTCTTTATGCTCATTCCCTTGTGGCAGTATTTAACCGTGCCACTGCTTCGTCGCTACTTCAATTGGGAACTGCAGCCGCTTCACAGTGTGACGGTGGGAGGAATTTGTTCTGCCGGCGCCTTCTTCTGTGCGGGAGCTTTGCAAGAACGTATAACGGTGATAAATAACAACGTAATACTTGGCTTGATGCTTACGTAAACCATATTTTAGAGTTCCCCTCTCCAAACAGTAAACATTGCCTGGCAGCTGCCGCAATTCTTACTGCTCATGATGGGCGAGCTGCTGCTCTCCATTCCCGGCCTCCAGTTTGCCTTCACCCAAGCGCCGACCTCTATGAAGTCGGTGGTCACGGCTGCCTGGTTCCTGAACAACGCCTTCGGTAATCTCATCGTGGTCCTGGTCACCGAATTGGGTATGCTTAGCTCCCAAATGGCCGAGTACTTCTTTTATGCGGTGGTTATGCTGGTTTGCATAATTCTCTTCGCTCTACTGGCCTTCGACTACACGCTGCAGGAGCGAAAGGGAGGTCTGTATGTGAGGGGATTGGACCTCGATCCCGAGGAGCAGGATCTGCCCAGCACGAGTCGCAGTGACAGCATTTAAGAGAGTTTCTGCTCTCTAGTATTTCCATTGCACTTGTAATTTATTAAGGTACGCACACAGATAAACACACATTTAACTGAAAATAAATAAAAGCTATGCAACTATGAAACTAGTTGCGGAATCAGTCGAGTATCTTAAACATGTACTGCAACTCCAATTTGGTGTCGTCCGGCAGATCGGTACAGTGAACGGCATTCTGCACCTTCGATTTGCCAAACTTGGCGCGCAGAGTGTGTGGACGTAGGAGTTTGGCGATTTCTGGATCCATTGGGCCGCAAAAGTTGCGGAATTCGGTATGCGTATTCTTTTCTGGATCCGTGCAGGAAATCTCCATGCACATGCAAACGCCGCTGGCCAATTGCGCCACCATGGGTATATATTCGGGCAGGACCCCTCGGTAGACCTCGTAGAACTCCTCGCAGTTGATTCGAGCCATTAGAATCATCCGCATCGCCGTCAGCCGAAAGCCATTGGCCAAAATCTCAGTCAAAATGTCGCCCAGCAGACCGTCCTTGATGCTATGCGGTTTAATGATGGCTAGCGTAGTTTTTTTGAACAAACAGTCCTTAATGATGTTGTGCCTCGATTCGAAGAAGAACTTAAGGTCCATGTCTACGTCATCGTCGGTGTCCGAGTAGTAAAACCCATAACGAATCTCCTCGCTTTCGCACAGCTCCTCTAAGCTGGGCGACAGTTTCATATCAGATGCCTCCTGTTCCGAGCTCTTATAACGGGCGCAGGCCTTTATAGTCTCCACCACGTTGTCCCCAATCAGCTCCAGGCTAATCGCCGGTCCGGCTAGCAGCTCGTTCATCAGCACTCTGCGTTTAAGTGGGTGAGAATCTTTTACTGGGCTCTCAACCTTTACTTACGAGGATGAGACATCCTTCTTGTCCTTGCCGGAGAGGAATCGGGTGACCATCTTGGGGGAGAACTGAACCATCATTCCCTGGTTTATGTTGATCTTGTTTTCGATAAGTGTTTTGATGAACTTGCCCAAGTGCTTAGTCCACATATTGTTCTTGAGCAGAACGAAACCTCTAGATAAAGAAGGAATTAGTTTTATGTGGGTTAATTTTTGTCGAAGATATCCCCATACTTCTTGCGGTATTTCGCTAGGTTGGAGCGAGTGGTGTCGTCGGCGTAATCCACAATGTCGAACTGCCGCCCAAACACATTGATCTTAGATCCCACGAAAAAGTCGCGTTGCGTTAACTCCGGTATTTTAGTGCGCCGCAAGAAGGTGCGCTTGTTACGCTGGTCAAACTGGTGCAAAAACGAAAGATTAGCCGAAAATGTCTACCCTGAATCTGAGTCCACTAGTCCTCACCACTTCCACCGCCTTGTCGGACACATAATATGTGATCAGAAAGGTGCGGATGATTCCCGCCTCCGAGTGGTACCACTCGGCCACAAAAAGCCAGACGCCTTTCGCTCGCTGGGATCGCATCGGGCTTCATTGTCAGGATTGTTGTTGTGGATTTTGTAGGATTTTCCGTTCGACCACAAGGCTTTTATTTGGAGTGAAAACTCTTAGTCTGCTTCGCATTTTTAAGTGTGCTTCTTCTTTCCCGCGTTGTCACAGCAACAGTGTTGCCAACTCAACGTAAAACACTTAATATTGCGCGAAATTTAAAAAATAAATTCATAATATGTTTCATTAAAGTCCATATTATCTATAATTACAATTTCAGTTAATTTCCAAAACTAGTTTTTAGTGTAATATTTTCTATCTCTTTCAGTTCCAAACCTCTTTGGTTAAATTCGGTCGACTTCCTCAGTTTGCCGTTTGACAAATTCTAGAACTTTCCTTATCTTCCTATTATCTAACTGAAAAATATGTTAAGGTTTTCAATTTTTTTTATTGTAATTTCCTTTATTTACAGGAAACAAAAATAATAAATTGCAAACTGATTTGCAATGAATTGGTTGTAGCTTTCCTCTGGTTGTTAAATTCTAGCGTAAAACTTATGGTTTCCCTTGTCGGCGCCAAATCATCTTGTTCCTTGTGTTGCTTCTTGTTAACATCTCTCCTCTGAATACGCATATTCAGCTAAATTAAATGTGGTTTTTTCGTTTGGAATAGTGTTTTATGTAGGCATGCGATTTGTTGATGTTCTAATGAGTGACTGAGTGTTCTTTTCATTTTGTTTTCGGGTTGGTGTGTCTTGTGTGTGAGGAGTGAGTGTTGTGATTGTGTGTTGACTTATGGTATAAGCGCCACGGCTAACGCTACGACTACGCCAAAATGCTAGACACCATCTATGCGGCCATCTAGGCAGCTGGCTTCTTCTTGTCGCCCTCGGCGCCCTCTTCCTCATCCTCGTCATTCTGGGACAGGCTCGGGATGTTGTCGTCCGAGTCCTCCTCCTCGTCGTCGACGTTGAAATCGTCGAACTTATTGTTCCAGTCGCCACCAGGGCTGTTCAGGAAATTGCCAAACATGCCGTTGTCTTTAGTATCACCTGCAAGTTCGGATTAAATGGGGATATCAAGAAAAGATAGGAAAAATTTGATTTGATTAACTCACCCTCCTCGTCGTCGGACTCATCGCGCCACTTGGCAAAGTTGGCTTTCAGGAAATGCAACTTGGTCTTGTCCGTGGTCAGCGAGGACCAGTAGGGACCGGCCGCCTTCTTGGGTATTGTGAATTCCAGGCAGCGGCCGATGTTCTTGCTGGTCACCTTCTCAGGATCCACCTCATGGAGGAAGTTCAGTGTGACCTCGTACTTCTTCGACGCGTCCAGCACGTTCACGCCCTTGAACGTAAAGCTGTTTTCCGTCACTCTGTGAAATTACAACAATTTTATAAGGATACCGTGTTTTTTTTTAACATCTAGGCCACCTACTTGTGTTCGATGTCCTTGCACTCCACATCAATTATGACGTAGACCAGGTCATTGCGCTGGGCCCAGGACACTGGTGGCGGAATCGAGCTGCAATAGCGAATTAAGGTAAACATTAACATGGGTTTTGGGTAACAAGGGTATGTGGTATCCGGTGTCATGGCAACTGGAGTCGTATTTTCTGGAAGCGGGTGCATGGCCTATGTAAATCGATCGGGGTCCCACCATTTGCATAGATCATACGCCCAGGCAAAAGTCCATGCCGAAAATCCACGGCATTAGCGCCAACTGAAACATAACCTCAAAGGCTGGGCCCTCCGATTAGTTCCACAAATATCGCAATGCAGATGCGCACGGGACACGCCCACCGCAGGCACACCGCCCCGTCCGCCGGGCGACCGCAAGGATGCAAGGTGCATACGCCAGGATACGGGGTGTTTTCTTTTGCAAGGCGGTGAAAAATGGACGACGCCGCCGCTGCCGCCGCAACAAAGCACGCGACGCACAAAGAAGCCACAAAAAGATGGATCGAACGACCCCAGAATTGGTAGTCGCCGGATGAGAAACTTACCCTGCTGCTGCCGACATTCTGTTACTGCTGAGAATCGCTGGTTTTGGGTTTACGGTTCCGGAACACTACCGATCTGACAGCCTGTTTTGTTACAAAAAAAGGCAATTCAGTTGAACAAAATTGTCATGCAAAATTGTAGACGGTATATGTCATGGTATTTTCCAGGGATGGACAGCGTTGTATAGCAGAGTTGTATTCTACGAATCATTTGCACAACTCCCAGAAACGCTTTTCAAAAATCACCTTAATTCTTCAGAAATACTGAGTATCAAACGAGTTTCAGTATTTACTGCCTTATAATAGTTGCTGCAGAGTCATAGCGACCCTCTGCGTCCCTTTTTTATCACATATTCTTCCTACGGATTAAAAGCGCCACCTATAAAAGTAATTGAGTGTCACTCTCTGGCAGCCGTTACACTCTGCTTTAGTTAACACGGTCACTTTGGTCATTGGTTCGAAAGAATCGATTTTTTTTAGCTTCGTATATCGATTATTTAGTGGACACTCAACCCATTTGCGTAAAGTGTAAAAAACAATTCGAATTAATTTATAACGGTAATTATGATGCTCAAAACTGAAATAGATTTTAATTAGCACACGCGTTTTACAGTATTAACTAAAAACATATATCTTTATTAAGGATATAGTCCATTTTGAATGTAAAACTTTTGTTATAAATTGTAAACATTTTTCAATAAACTTGTACCTTTTACATAATATCAAATATAAATTTCCTAAAAACTTGTTTTAAATTACTTTAGAAAAGTAAAAATTTGATTAATCCCTCAGTTATTCGACCTAACCTAAAAGTTGGTTTGGTTCCAGGCGCTAGTTCGCAAAATAATCGAGATCGTCGGAACTTGTCCGGTTGCCATGGCAACTTGGCGCCTGTTTGTTCGATGGAATTTTCAGCTTATTCCGTTTTGCAGAGGCGAAAAGTTGTGCAACGCAGAAAAATCAAGCAAACCTAGTAAATCTATAATGTGTTTTAATTTGGTGCTCCACAAGTTTGTGTGCTCCGATTTGTTGTGAATTTGTTTTTTGCATAGAGTTTTGGCAAGATGTTCGTGCAGAAGAAAAAGCTGGTTGAACATGTCTTGGCAATGCGTGCCGAAGGGGGCAGTAGTGATGATGATGAGGAGGAGGAGGACCAAGGCGACATTTTGCAGGTGCAAATTACTAATTACTTTCGAGTACCGTATCGAGTGTAATGCTAAATAACAAAAGTAACCTGTAATGCGTAATGCCCTAGATTCCAAAAGCCCTTTGACTGATTACGTAATCGCAATTTATGCAAGTTGCAACCCGTACTGCGCGTGTAAATTGCTCTTAGTTGAGGTCTCAAGTAATATTGATCTAATACACTCTTTTTAATTTCTTTTTAGCTGAGTTACCCATTTATCCACCTCTAAAGAACTTCACTACTGTTGCTGCAAAAACCAAAACCTAGTAAAACATTACGAAATCACCACAACTAATGTACAGCAAACATTGAAGTACAGCACTTTTGATTTTTGTATTACTTCTTGTATGTATTTGTTGTGATGCTAGATAAGTATAATTGTTGTAGTTTTTTGAATGTAGACCGTAGGCATGTATGGAATGTATTTTTGCTGTTTACCAAAACCTATAAGTGCCATTTTTGAAACTAACAAACTTTTGGTCTCTCTCATTTTTGAATTTTGAAAAACGAACATTTTGTAAACAACAAATTGATTTTCAACATGAAATCAATAAAATATTTTTGTAAAACAAACAAAATTTTACCACTCCCGCACTTCAAAATTTTGATCCTTAAATTATTTTCCTGGAAATCTAACGGTCCGACGCATGTCGGTCTTCGAAATCCGGCGAATATCACGTGAAATTTTGAAATGGACCCGGACGAAGCGCAGCGTCGGCGGGAAGAATGCGAACGCAAGGCGCGTCGTGGGGAAATGGATCCCCGGCTGGAGTTCACCTTCCAGCTCCTAATAGATGCCACCCAGCTGCCCAGGCATCAGCTCATGGACTACATATTCGAAGGGGACATGGTAGCGTATACGCCGGTTTTGCCTTGGTTTCCTAATCTCTAAGCACTTGCCTGTAGCTCGATGAGATCAACCAGCTATTCCTTCCGAACATGAAGAACAAGCTGCTCTGGTTCTACCAGGAGACCGATGACCCGGAGCCCACTCCAGTGCCCGATCCGAATAAGCCGGGACCCTCGCGATCCGGAGTGGCTTCCAGTAGCTCCAAGACGCCGCAGGGTGAGAAATTCGTTCTATCTGAGGCTTATATTTATATTTACACGTTTTGTTGTATAATTTTTTAATAACTTCGTTTTCCAGGAGGGGCTTCTCCGAGCGGAATGCCTCCGCCGAAGCACAAGAAGTTGTTCCTTACTGATGGATGGACTTGTGCCTTCACAGGAGTTTGTATTTACATATTCCGTGTGAATACATCCAAGCAGCTGCCCGAGGAGGGATTTCAGAAGGATTTGTAAGTGCCTATCATCGAGTTTTAAAATAAACTAGCCGTTAAGGAGTAATAAATCTTTCAGGTATTGCGGAGTGATAGATGCGAAGAACATCGGATTGGTCACCTCCATCGAACGGATTGTGGAGTTTGTGTTTATGCAGGCTTTGGCGTTTCCCAGCTTGGAAGGCGACGAGGAGGATGTGAGCTGCGGACTCATTAAAGGACAACTTTTGCCAGGACTCCGATCCTTTTGCAGTGCTTTGCGTGTTTGCGAACAGGTGTGCGACCATCACAATGTCTTTGCCGATGGCTGCGATATGTTCGAGAAGATCGACGAGGTGGAGGAGGTGAAGGACATGTCCAAGAACCAGGACTTTTGCAGCCAGCTCGAGGAGCGTGTCAATAACTGGACCAAGGGCATCCTGAAGATCCTTGGCGAGAGCGAGCAGCTGCGCAAGGAGAACGATCACAGTGGGCCGCAGGACGAGTTGGAGTACTGGAAGAAGCGGGGAGCCCAGTTCTCACAGCTCCTGGCCCATCTGCAGGACAAGGAGGTGCAGTTCACGCTGCACTGCCTCTTCCTGGCCGGATCGAGGATTATTAAGCAGTGGAAGGAGACCGACCGCAAGATTACCTTCTGCTACAACGAGGCGCGGGATAACTCAAAGTTCATCCAGGCCATGGAGACCTGCTGCCATTCGCTGTACTTGGACGATCCTGTCAGCATGAAGGAGTCCATCCTGAGTCTGCTGCAAACAGTGCGGCTCATCTACAGCGTCTCGCAGTTCTACAACACCTCGGAAAGGACCTCTGCTCTGATGGTCAAGGTGAGGTCTTAAGCAAAACCTTAGGACACATTACATTCTAGTAACATTTCTTCAAACTTTAAACGCTTCTAACATTTGTTGTTTTGCCCTCTTCCTTTCTCAATTTTATTTATAAGTGCTCCTTATTGATTTTATTTGTTTGCACTTTTCGTTTGAAACGTTGACCTTTCCTTGGCTTTAAGTAAAAGCCCCGTGGTGGGAAGCTAGCTATTCCTTTATTTATTTTGAAATTTCACCTTGAATTGCAAAAAAGTTTACAGGTTCTACTTATTGAGTGCATTGCATTCTTGATAAACCTTTTTCTCCTACCAGATAACCAACCAAATGATTGAAACGTGCAAATCGTACATCACCTGTCGGTGCAAGGAGACCATTTGGTCACAGGATCGCAACCTTATCCGCACAAAACTTAGTAACTGCATCAAGTTAAATCACATCTACCACGAGACCTATTACACAGTTAGGGAGCAGCCGTTCCTCCCGAATCAGACACCTTTCGGATTTTCCGAGAACTTTGTTTTTGGTGAGATAAGACATGGTTAATAAAAATCTTATTTAATTAAAAAAGATAAAATCGTTTAGGCAAGTTTGACACATTTTGCGAGCGGTTGTCCAAGATCATAAGCATGTTCAACCTGATTGACGACTACAATCACCTATTCGAGCGACGACTGGAAGGACTTCTCCTGGGAGAGGCCTTGGAGGATGCCTCCAATCACTTTGAGGAGGCTAAAAAGGACGTGACTTCCCGAAAGTACGACTACTTGGATCACCGAAACTCAGATTTCAATGTGGATTTCGAGAGGTTTATCCACAAAACCAACTCTTTAAAGGACACCATTGCCACACTGATTGAAAAGGACTTTGATACCGTTTGGGAAACGCCGCAGTGCATCCGATTTCTGGTGCGATTCGAGAAGGTCAGCGAGAAGATTCCGCTGACCAAGATGGACGAGAAGTACACTCGAATCCTGCGCTACGTGGAAAAGGAGGTGGATCGCATCCTGAAAACCTTTCGCAAGCAGCGCGATGATCCTCCGCTGGCCAGGAATTTCCCCCAATCGCCGGCAGGATACATTGGTGTCGCGCCTTGAGTCTCCACATCACGGAACTCATGGACGCCGTGATGGACCACGCGGTGCTCAGCAATTTGCCCATGGCCAAGGATCTGGATGTGCGCTATCACAATGTCCTGGGGGTTTTGCAGGAGTACGAGGACGAGATCGTGTCCATTTGGCTGGACCAGGATGTCAGCGTGGCCGATGCCTGTCTGCTCCAGCCCCTGTTGAGCCTCCAGGGGGACAAGTTGTTCGTCAACCTGCATCCCACGATTCCGCTGCTCATCCGCGAGGCCAAAATGCTGGCCAAACTGGACATCGAGTTGCCCATTGTGGCCGCCACGCTGATGAGTCGCCAGCAGTACTTTATCACCATTCAGGACTCACTGAATGTAAGTTGGTTAACAAGATTGGATAAGTCTTTAAAAGCATAAATATATAGTATTATTGGTGTATTTACTTTAAAGCCAAAGAAAATGCTTAAATGTTAATCTCTTTATGCTTTTCAGTGCCTCATAAAAATGTTTCTTTCAACCGTGAGAGCCGTGAAGTTGGAAGTTCGTCCTTTGTTCCTTCCACAGTTGGTTCGCCTCACAGCAATGCTAAAGCCAGGATTGCATACGATTAATGTAAGTCAGCAAAAGAATATACAAAACATGGCATTCTTATGAAATGTGTGTCACCATTTCAGTGGACCAACCAAAATTGGACAGAATTCTATGAGCGCTGCAAGCAGGCCATTGAGAGTTTTGAGGTTTTGGTTGCTCGTGTCCATGACATCTACTCGAATCGCATTCTCCATGTCCTCATGTGGATGCAGGATGTCTCCTTGCAGATTTTACCAGCAGGTTAGGTGCCTTTACTTCTTGAAAATTCAACACGTCTCTGGTAATTGTCTGCTGGTTAAAACTTTTCACATTTGTTCTTTGGGCAGACGATGAAATCTGGACAGTTGACGAGTTTCTGGAGCGGAGCGAGGAGGCCTGCCGGTGAGTCTGAATGTGACATCCACTCGAGAATTTCATTAAACCTGGTTTCTTTTGGGCGGAGGAACTTTTCAACTGTCTGGTCTAGACTTTTGTTTAGGCCACTTTTTAATTTATGGAGTTTATCTAATTTTAGGTGTGTTGGCCTCCTTGAATTGCTTATGAATTATGGGTATAATCGTTTGTTTTTTGATTGTTCCAGAAAAGCGGCCATCGAACTGAACCGGAAGAGCCAAATGGTCTCCGAGGCGGTGGAAGAGGTCCTCAGTTTGGTGGATAAGGCCACGGCTGCCTTCAAGGAGATAGCCGGCGATGATGTGATTACCCTGTTCGATGGTGAGTTGCGGGGAAAGTCTGGGAAGGAGTAATTGAGTGCCACCCATTGAGCAGCGGCCACTCCGAAGGGAGAGGGTTCCGGATCGGGGGGCCGCAAGCCGGAGGATGGAGCCGGTGGAGGAGGAGGCGGAGGTGGAGGTGGCGGAGCTGCTGCCCCAACCACAAGTGGCGGCAGTGGACAGCAGCAGGACTGGAGCATCCTGTGGTCCTGCTTCGAGAATCCTCTGTCTCTATTGTCAACCACTGAAAGTCTGCCCAAGGGCATGCAGGTATGAGAACCTTACCTAATTAAAGTAATTTTAATACTATATGAGGGAAAAGAGTTGAAGATAAATCAGGAATTAAAACTGTCAAGTGAGCACTGCATCCTTTTAAACTTAATTTGAGGATAACCATGCTTAGGAATTAAATGAGAAACTAATTGCCTTTTAAATATGCATAAGCTTTAAACTTTGATAATGATGCTTTTTACTTTGTTTTCTTATATATATTAGTTCTTTTAATATATTATACATAAGAGCTCGAAATCTAGAAGAACTCTTAAGATAGAGATTAAATGAAAACCCCTCTCCTTGGGGCTTCCCATGCATCCCCACCTTGCAGGACATGGTCTGCAACGCGGTCGTGGAGATGCGGCGCTACTACAGCCGCAAGGTGATCGACGTGCTGATCAAGGTAATCCGGGCCGCTCTGGACACCCTCCGCCGTCGGTTCATCGCCGACGAGAACGAGACGGTGGTGAAGAGGCCGATCTTTGCGCTGCACGCGCAGCTGCAGATTCCCCATGTGGTGATTAAGCCGAATCTGGACGAGCTGCAGGACATATTGGTGACGGCGGGCAAGAACATCACGGGCATTGCGAAGGGCGTGGCGCAGTGGAGCAGCGGCAAAGATCCGCCGGTGCGTACCGCCCCACTGAATAGCTTCGCAATGTTCTCCAAAATCTTGTCTTACCAACCGCAGCAAGTTTCGATGACGGCGACGCAGCCGCGCGTCGGACGCAACCACAACGAGTCCTCCGGTGGTGGTGGCGGTGGTGGTGGAGGACTGGGCGGTGGACTCGGTGGCAAGAGTCGGCGGCGCAAGATCTACTGTCTGGCCTCCGAGGAGCGGCCCCAGATGCCCCACATGCTCAAGAGCTTCTACTCGGCCATCATGGACAACAAGGAGGTGGCCAAGGCGGTCAACCAGCTGTCCAGCTGCACCAAGAACGTCAAGCCGGAGATCCAGACGTACATCAAGCGCTGGAAGCCGTACCACTTCCTCTGGAAGAACGACCGCACCACGCGCCAGCTCATGGAGTTTGGCCTGCAGGAGTTCGAGACCACGCTGCGCTGCCTCTCCGACCTGGACGCCAATCTGCTCGTGGAGCCCGACATGGAGGTCTTCGGCCAGTGCGTCGCGGTCTACAACGAAAGGCTCAAGTATGGTTTGGCCATTGAGATCAAGTGTGAGTGGATTTACTACAAGCTTATAACCCAAACATTTCAAACATTCATTTATCAAACTTAAAAACTCAAACTCTAACTTTCAGCTAAAATTATGTTTAGGGGAGCTACTTAAATCAAGCAAATACTTTGTTTTTACCATCGAAAGGTTCTTAAATAAGTTTGTTGTGTTTCTAAATTAACTTAAATGATGGGGTACAATAAGACACCCTTAGAAGATTTTTATTTAAAATGATTAGTATTGGCTTTTAAAGTGTAATATTCCAAACTCGTTTTACCCATTTTCAAAGTGCAACTCGTAATCATTTACATATCTGTATCAAAGGTATTAATATAGTTCTACTTTCACAACAAAAGCTCAAGTCTGCATCAACATGACCTCGACAAAAATAATAGCTAACCCACGCCCACAAAACACAATTGGATTTAGTCGGACTAAATGTGTGAGGATTTATTAGCCCTTTAATTGTGTCCAATGAATTCTTTACCGAGAAAAGCCACCTAATGACTAAGCAAATGTTGGCAGAAACTTTTCCAGCTGCCTCCCCATTGTTTTCCCACTATTTTACTAAATCGACCGACCGACAACAAAGCATCGCATCGGCTCTTCAGACTCCGTTCGCTTGAATTAATCAGCCATAAATTGTGGACACCCTCGCGAATTCTTTTGTTTGCTCGAACGGGGAGCTGTTCGAATTGATTGGACTGCAATTAGGCCATCTAATTTGCCTAACCGAATTAGCCGGGCAGCTCGGTCGGCCCAAAAATAAATTCCCCACACAGTTTTATTAGATGGGGAACGAGGAGACGCCCCAGGATGTGACCGGGTCGGAAGGGGAATTGGCCTGCGTCCTCGGCCTGCTTTGATTAATGACATCGATATCATTGAGCTCCGCTAAGTGGACTGGCGGACTAGGGCGGATAAACACCTTACACCTCGTTTCTATTTCCAGCCTGCAACCACAAAATCGGACAGGCGATGAAGAAGAAGTACAAGAAGGAGATGGACTACGTGTACGCGGTAATCAACGAGATGGACCGCAAGCTGGACAGGCCCATTCGCGACCTGGACGATGTGCGAATGGTCATGGAGACCCTGGGTAAGATTCGGGAGCAGGAGGTGGACATGGAGCTGCGAATCGATCCGATAGAGGTGAGATTAAAGTTAAGAGTAAGGGAAACTAGATAGTTGTTCATATTTATATAAGTATCTTAGATAGGTAGGGATATTTCCGTTTCATTAGTGACTAAGAACTAGTTACATTCTTCAACCGAGAACTTAACCAATACTCTTCCTCTTATTGCTCTATTAACATACATTATTTCCCCTCTCAGGAAGCCTTCAATGTCCTCACCCGCTACGAAGTGCAGGTGGAGCGGGAGCAATTCGACTTGGTGGACAACTTGCGGGCCACGTTCCAGAACCTGCTGGCTGGCGCACTGCAGGCGCAGGTCAAGCTGCTGGACATGCAGCCGGCCTTCCAGGACGACCTGCGCACCAACCTGGACAACTTCAAGCAGGACAAGATCTCGTACGTGACGGAGTACCGGACGGCGGGGCCGATGCAGGCCGGACTGAGTCCGCGGGAGGCCTCCGACCGGCTGATCCTGTTCCAGAACCGCTTCGAGGGCATGTGGCGACGCCTGCAGACGTACCAAAGTGGCGAGGAACTCTTCGGTCTGCCCCAGACGGACTACCCAGAGCTCGGCCAGATCCGCAAGGAGCTGAACCTCCTGCAGAAGCTGTACAAGCTGTACAACGATGTGATCGATCGCGTGAGCAGCTACTACGACATCCCGTGGAACGAGGTGGACATCGAGGAGATCAACAACGAGCTGATGGAGTTCCAGAACCGCTGCCGCAAGCTGCCCAAGGGCCTGAAGGAGTGGCCGGCCTTCCATGCTCTGAAGAAGACCATCGACGACTTCAACGACATGTGTCCGCTACTGGAGTTGATGGCGAATAAAGCCATGAAGCCACGCCACTGGCAACGGATCATGGACGTTACTCGCTACATCTTCGAGTTCGACTCGGAGGGTTTCTCGCTCAAGAACATATTGGAGGCGCCGCTGCTGAAGCACAAGGAGGACATCGAGGACATCTGCATCAGCGCCATGAAGGAGAAGGACATCGAGGCGAAGCTCAAGCAGGTGACCAACGAGTGGTCCGTCCACGAGCTGCAGTTCATGAGCTTCAACAATCGCGGAGAGCTCCTGCTGCGGGGCGACACCACCGCGGAGACCATTGGCCAGCTGGAGGACAGCCTGATGGTGCTGGGATCCCTGCTGTCCAACCGCTACAATGCACCCTTTCGCAAGCAGATCCAGCAGTGGGTCTACGACCTGTCCAACTCGAACGAGATCCTCGAGCGCTGGCTGCTCGTGCAGAACATGTGGGTCTATTTGGAGGCCGTGTTTGTTGGTGGCGACATCGCGAAGCAACTGCCTAAGGAGGCGAAAAGGTTTTCCAAGATCGACAAGTCATGGCAGAAGATCATGCAGCGGGCCCACGAGACACCTGGTGTTGTGGCCTGTTGCGTCGGTGATGATCTGCTGAAGCAGCTGCTGCCTCACCTGCAGGAGCAGCTGGAGATCTGTCAGAAATCCTTGAGTGGTTACCTGGAGCGCAAGCGCATGATGTTCCCACGCTTCTTCTTTGTGTCAGATCCTGCCCTGCTAGAGATACTGGGTCAGGCTTCCGATTCGCACACCATACAAAACCACCTCCTCAACATATTCGACAACACCAAGTCGGTGAAGTTCCACGACGTCGAGTACAACAAAATGATGGCGATCATCAGCAGCGAGGGCGAGATGATCCAGTTGGACCGCGCCATTCGGGCCGAGGGTTCCGTGGAGACCTGGCTGACCCAACTCCTGGTCACGGCCCAGGCATCGCTGCACTCGATCATCCGCACTGCCTACGCCACCATCAACGATCCCAATTTCACCCTGCTCAGCTTCCTGGAGAAGGCCCCCGCGCAAATTGGATTGCTGGGCATCCAAATGGTCTGGACCCGCGATGCCGAGATGGCTCTGATGCGGGGTCGCGAGCGAAAGGTCATGATGGAGACCAACAACAAGTTCCTGGAAATGCTAAACACCCTCATCGATCAAACCACTCGAAACTTGACCAAACGGGAGCGCACAAACTTTGAAACTCTGATTACCATTCATGTGCATCAGCGCGATATCTTCGATATTTTGGTGGGTTCACTTAATAAGTTATTTATAAATGATATAAAATATATCTTTAATGTATATAATGAAATTAAACTTGATCTGCTTTAATCCCATTTAAATTATTCTGTAGTGCCGCATGAACATCAAGTCAGCCAACGATTTTGAGTGGCTGAAGCAATGTCGTTTCTACTTCAAAGAGGACTTGGACAAAACCTGGATTTCGGTGACGGATGTCACGTTCACCTACCAAAATGAATATCTAGGCTGTACAGATCGCTTGGTTATCACACCGCTAACAGATCGGTAAAATATGTTTTTACTTGATTAGTGCTTCATGGAAAATGGACTTGTATTGAATGGATATTTTCAGAAGATTATTATTACTACACATTTTCCAAATTATATTTTTTTGGAATACATTACTTAAAGCTATTTGCATTGAGCTCCGAAACATCCAAGTCGGGCCAACAGTTAATTTCATTTCATCATTACCCAAATCTCCTTAATATTTCCTCGCAATTACGTATACGACGAGTGGTCCATTCACATACTTTTCCGACAAGTGCTGGCTGTCTGTCTGCCCACTGGCGAACTCCGTAGGCTCGGCAATAATTCGTAATCAATAATTATAAGAGCGGCCGTTTAATTTGTATTCCTGGCATTGTTGTTCGCTCTTTCAATGATAAACTTTCGCATTTCTCGAATGCTCCAATGCCCGACTGCTCGAATGAGAACCGCCTGCACGTGCTCCGCACATTCCTCGTGGCATTTTCAATGGCTGTTGAAGAGGCGGTGGAGGCACCACCTTGGAATGCCGCTTCGGCAAACAAACGCCTGCGAGGCAGCCATTGGCAACAAGCGTTTGGCGGCACTTAAAGACGCTTTAAGTCGATGCTGAAGGAGAAGACAGCCGCATCTCCGCGGCATTCCGTTCCGCATATTTTGTGGCAGCGGAAGCTGAAGACAAACTAACAGTGGAACCGGACGACGTTGACATGCCCGTAAAGATAAATTTCACTTAGCCGAGCATAAATAAAGTTTTGACAGCAGCCAGTCGGTTCAGACGGAGCGGCGAAAGCTGGGAAATGGTGCTATTTTCCTAGGGGCAACTGCTTTCCCGGCTGCTTTGCATTCGCGTTCCGATCTCCACTCGCAGATTTCCCATTCGTCTGACGTCAGAGAACATTAGCAGTACCTTTGATATCATAAAGAGAACTTATTTTTTATGTTGGTCTGCGGTGTGACGTTTAATAGGCTGCGGCATGAGCATCAGTGAAAGTTTACTTTTCCATCGTGTTTGAACTTTGACCTCCCTTTCCCCCTCAGTTGTTACATAACCCTGGCCCAGGCACTTACCTTGTCGATGGGCGGAGCTCCATGTGGTCCAGCCGGAACGGGAAAAACGGAAACCGTCAAGGATATGGGCAAAACGCTGGCCAAGTACGTGGTCGTCTTTAATTGCTCCGACCAAATGGACTACAGGTGGGTCACTCGTAAAAAAGTAAATATAAATCATCATTTAAAAAGGTAACTAAACATCTTTATCTTTATCGGGTTCATTGAATTCCATTTTTTAATTGGAAGTTTTACATTAAAGTAAGGGAATTATTTTTTATTTGCTTTCCTAAGTTGATAATTAAATAAAGAACATTTAATAGTGCATTGTAACAATTCTTCTCTAACAAAAATATTACGTATACGACTTGTGGGTCTTATAAATCTCTTCTCTTTAAATTGACATTTATTAAGGTTTTGCCAGTTTACTTTTTAATATTTCATTGGTTGCAAATATCTAAATGCATTTATTTTCCAGAGGTTTGGGTCGCATCTACAAGGGATTGGCCCAGTCCGGCAGTTGGGGATGCTTCGATGAGTTCAACCGTATCGAACTTCCGGTTTTGTCGGTGGCCGCCCAACAAGTTGCTGTCGTTCTGACCGCCAAAAAGGAGAAGAGGAAGACATTCCTCTTCACCGACGGGGATACCATTGAAATGAATCCCGAATTCGGCATCTTCATAACTATGGTAATGTACTGTTCTATTTTTGGTAAAATAAATTTTTATTCCACTCCGGTTTTTGTCTTCAGTTTTGAATTTAAAACATCGCACATCACTGTCACCCACACGTAAGTGCACCAACAATCTGTTTGTATTTTTTCTTAAATTCGATTTCCCGGAGCCTGACGTGAAAATAGCTTGGTGTCGCAAAAAAGCGACAAGCTGGTAAAATAATTGTATACCCTTTAAATTTGTTAATATGAGGAAAATGAGTAAGCAAACAAATTGGAAGGCAAGCTAAGTTCCATTTTCTGTTTTCAAAAGAAATTATTTTTTAGAATAGGTTTGCTGCTTTAGCTATAAAATTTCTAAAAATACTGGTGTGTAATGCAAATTGTTCAGACTGAAAGGAAACTTTTTTATATTAAATGAAATTTTTATATGTGAAATTTAAAAATTTCCGTACCCCAATCAATGGGAAGCCTTAAAAATGTTCGTTAAACGAAAGTGACGGGCGCTTCACGCACATAATTCCACGTTATTAGTCATGTACAATTTTTCTCAACTGGAGGCCATAATAAAATTTACTGTAGCGCCTGTGCACATACGAAATTTGGCTTTGGAGGCGGCTAAAAGCAGACGAAAACCAATAACCGAGCAGGAGGCAGGGCAAATAAGGCCAAAAGAGGCGACTGGAGTTGAGTCCTTAGCCTGGGTGTATTTACATTTCAGCGGTGGCATGACTCGATTAATGTGGCTGCCACTTGGGATGCCGAATTTCCAACGCCATTCAGCAACACAATCTGGTTTTCTCGGCTGAGGAGGGGCATCTTTAAGCCGTCGTTTTGGGGGAAAAGCGGGGAAAAGTAGCTGCCGACTTGCTTGGAAACTCGCCGTAGTTTAATTACTAGTGACGGTAACTATGATCGGGTAATGCGATTAGCGTTAAAACAGCGACGCGTCGCCTCTTTTGTAATGGCGCATGTCAATCAGCGCCATCTCATTCGCATCCCCATCTCCATCCCCATCTCCATCCCCATCTCCATCCCCATCTCCATCCCCATCTCCATTCCCATCCCGTCCTGGTGGCACCACCAACATCCCAACATCCGATTCCCGGGCAGTGATCCTTTGCAGGCTTTGGCTCAATTTTAATTTGCACATTGAGTTATTACGCTCATTTATATAACACTTTTAGCTGGAGCATTTTATTTTAATGAGCCATTATGTCACAGGCCGAATTGGGTCGCACACGATTATGGGGACATAGACAAATGGACGCTGGCCGAGAAAACTGGGAACTGGGGAAGCTCGAATGGGTTTTGAATGACGAAACCCTTTGTTGTGGTTTCCCCTTGTTTCCTTTTCCCATTTTCCGCCTTTTCCGTTTAACTGCTGCTCGTGACGAGTCTATCTTTGGGACAGGTCAATATTTGCTGCCACGGCTTAAAATCAAATAAACCATGACCAGGCTTAAAATTATTTTTGCGCCCAAATTTCGCTTGGGCTTACCAAATTAAACTTACTAAGCGTTCACCTCTATTTTTGTGCCAACATTTTGTGCGGGCGTGCCAAATTGAACTTGTTAAATTGTTACCTTAATATTTGTATTTAAGGCTTAGGTTAAAAATTATTTGTAAGTGTCGTGTTTGCTTGACAAATTAAACTAACTAGATGTGCACCTCCTTTTCCACAGTTGAGCTTTCCAATGGTAACATATTTAAAGTCCCATTTTCAAATATTTCCACTTCAACGCTCTCGTAAATAATTGGATTTTCAAGAAAGGCAAAGAAGGATTTTCAAGTTTTAAGAGCGCCTTAAAAGGCGGCTTAAACATTTAAATCTTTTGTATACATTTTGTGGAAAGCTGTCGGCAATTTATAAAATAATTTTCACTTCACAATTTCCACTTTATTGTATAATAACACGTATGTATTGTGAATATTTTATTGGGTGGATTCCCTAATTTGTAGCGGTTGGGAAGTTTTTTTTATCTAATCACGAATGTAAGTTATTTTGTTCAATAGAATCCAGGATATGCTGGTCGCAAAGAATTGCCGGAGAATCTTAAAATCCAATTCCGCACTGTGGCCATGATGGTGCCGGATAGACAGATTATTATACGAGTCAAGCTGGCCAGTTGCGGATTCCTGGAAAACATAACGCTGGCCAGGAAGTTCTACACTTTGTACAAACTGTGCGAGGAGCAGTTGACCAAGCAGGTTCACTACGACTTCGGACTGAGGAACATCCTCTCCGTTCTGCGAACCCTTGGAGCTGCCAAGCGGAGGAACTCCAAGGACACCGAGAGCACCATTGTGATGAGGGTCCTGCGCGACATGAATCTCTCCAAGCTGATCGACGATGACGAGCCGCTCTTCATGTCCTTGGTCTCGGATTTGTTTCCCAATCAGGTAAAGAATAACTTTTATTTCAAATATATATTTTTGTTGTATTATAAATCCTTTTTATAGACCCTGGAAAAAACAAATTACCCAGAACTCGAGGCTGCTATTCTGCAGCAAACGGACGAGGCCAGCCTCATATATCATCCTCCGTGGGTCCTGAAACTCATTCAGCTGTACGAGACCCAAAACGTTCGCCACGGAATCATGACCCTGGGGCCGAGTGGAGCCGGCAAGACCACCTGCATCCACACCTTGATGAAGGCCATGACCCAAATGGGTGACAACCACCGCGAGATGCGGATGAACCCCAAGGCGATCACGGCGGCCCAAATGTTCGGACGGCTCGACGTGGCCACAAACGATTGGACTGATGGCATTTTCTCGGCCCTGTGGCGCAAAACCCTCAAGCTGAAGGCCGGCGAGCACGTGTGGCTGGTCCTCGACGGACCCGTGGACAGTATTTGGATTGAGAACCTGAACTCGGTGCTAGACGACAACAAGACGCTCACCCTGGCCAACGGAGATCGTCTGACCATGGCGCCAACCGTGAAAATCATATTCGAACCGCACAACATCGACAATGCCTCGCCTGCCACGGTTTCCCGGAACGGAATGGTCTACATGAGCTCCTCTGGCCTGGACTCGCGACCAAGTAAGTTTGGGGATATTTAAATAGATGTAGAAATATCTTAAAAAGTAGGAGAATAATCTGGCATTACTCAAATGGTTGGAAGTAAAAGTTGTATACGATTTTATAGCAGAACGATTTGTCTTTCGGATTAAAGTTTGCTGGAAATCATTACTCTTATTTCCTAAACATTTTCAATGAAGTTGTTCAGGCCTGGCTTAAAAACCGCGCACCTGGCGAGAAGTCAACCTTCTCGGACTTATTCGATCAGACCTTCGTGGAGGTTTACAACTGGGGAGTGCAGATGGTGAAGCTGCAGATGCCCGTGCTGCAGTGCAACATTGTGCAGCAAATGCTGTTCATCCTGGAGGGCTTGATACCCGTCAAAAGGAGGACGAGCAGGCAGTCAGCCTGTCCAGCAAGGAGAGCCACGATGGTAAGTCCAATCAGCTAACTAACTAACCAATTCCAAACCCAAAAGAAAAGCGAACCCCGAACAAGAATCCCATCCCGAATGATTGCCACTTTTCAGCGAATAAACGTTCAGAGCATCAAAAACACGTCGAAGAGGCGCGACGGCAATCGATTGGCAGTCAGATTGTCGGTAAAGTATTATATATCCGTAATGCCTTGCGCAACTAACAAAAGCTATAAAAAGCATAACTAATCGTAGAGCTGATCGCCTTGCTAACACGCAAAATGCTTCTCTGTGTTTCGAACTGACATCTAACCAACTTTCAGCCGGGATCCGAGCCGCAAGGATTGCTTCCCGGCCGATTGTCCTTCTCTTCCTTCCTTCCGTAGTTGTAACTCTGTGCTCGTCCTCTCTCTGTACTAATGCATTAACCCCAAATAGTTGTGTGTGTCTCGTCCAAACGTTTTGATTTTAAAGTCGCCATAAGCAAGTAGAGGTGTTGCAGAGGTGTTTCTCTTGAGCGGAATCCCTCATTCAATCATATTAAATTAGATAAAATATAATATGAATACCTAACCAAACAATATAAAACCCCTTTACTAAAATAGTTCTAAAGGTTTTACAAGCTCAAAAGAAACCCCTGCTTCACTCATGAATGTTTGCTCCCAGTAAAGAACCATGTGGTCTAATCCCATCTCGTTTTCCACCTCCTCGCAGAGGACCTCCCTCCGGAGACGCTGGTCGAGGAGAAGGAGGACACCTGCACGCCGGAACACTTGCACCGCTTGTACATCTTCGCGCTCGCCTGGGGACTGGGCGGTTACCTCTCCACTAGCGACCGCCTCAGGATGAACCTGTTCGTGAAGGAATCCTTCCCGCAGCTGGACTACCCGAAGGGTAGTGCCCACGAGAACACCATATTTGACTTCTTCGTTTCTCCGGCGGGCGTTTGGCAGTCGTGGAAGACGCTCGTCACGCCCTACATGTATCCGGATCTTTCCACACCGGAGTACCTGAGCATTCTGGTGCCCATCGTGGATAATGTGCGGATCGACTATCTGATCGGCACGATTGCCAATCAGGAGCGCGCCGTCATGGTGATTGGGGAGCAGGGCACCGGCAAAACGGTGATCATGAAGAACTTCATGCGGAAGATGAACGTCGAGACGTACATGGGTCGCTCCTTCAACTTCTCGTCCGCGACCAGTCCGTATCAGTTTCAGCGCACAATCGAGAGTTATGTGGAGAAGCGGGTGGGCGTGACCTTCGGGCCACCAGGTGGTCGCAAGCTGATCGTCTTCATCGACGACATCAACCTGCCCGAGATCAACGAGTGGGGGGACCAGATAACCAACGAGATTGTGCGCCAGTCGATGGACATGAAGGGCTTCTACAGTCTGGAGAAGCCCGGTGACTTCACCACCATCGTCGATGTGCAGTATGTGGCCGCCATGGGTTTGCCCGGCGGCGGACGCAACGACATTCCGTCGCGTTTGAAGCGACAGTTCTGCGTGTTCAACTGCAACATTCCGGACAACGATTCGATCGACAAGATCTTCCGCGTGATCGGCGAGGGCCACTACAATGCGAAGCGGGGCTTCGTGCCCGAGATCCGCAGTCTGGTCAAGAAGCTGATCGTAGTCACCCGCCATCTGTGGCAGCGGACGCGCGAGAAACTATTGCCCACGCCGGCCAAGTTCCACTACGTGTTCAGTTTGCGCGACCTGTCGCGCATCTGGCAGGGCATGGTTGGCACCCTATCCACGGTGATCACCTCCGAGGGCGTCCTCATGGCCTTGTGGAAGCACGAGTGCACGCGAGTGTTCGCCGATCGGTTCACCACGTTCCAGGACAAGGAGTGGTTCGGCTCAGAGCTGGCATGTCTCGTGCGCGAGGAACTGGGCGATGCCCACTCGCAGATGATCCTGCCGAATCCGGTGTTCGTCGATTTCATGCGCGACGCCCCCGAACCGACGGGGGAGGAGGGAGAGGACACCGATATGGAGCTACCGAAGGTCTACGAGCCGGTCCACTCACACGAAGTGCTCCGCGAGCGTCTCGTCATGTTCCTCGCCCAATTCAACGAAATGGTGCGGGGCTCGGGAATGGACTTGGTGTTCTTCCCGGATGCAATGCTGCATCTGGTGAAGATATCCCGCATCATTCGGCATCCGAGGGGTTCCGTCATGCTGGTCGGGGTCGGCGGTTCTGGAAAACAGTCGCTAACGAAATTGGCATCGTTCATAGCCGGCTACAAGACATTCCAAATTGCGTTGACGCGTTCGTACAACGTGGCCAACTTTCTGGAGGATCTAAAGCTGCTCTACCGCACCTGCGGCGTTCAGGGCAAGGGCACGACCTTCCTCTTCACCGACATGGATATCAAGGAGGAGGGTTTCCTCGAGTATCTCAACAACATACTCTCGAGCGGCGTCATATCGAATCTATTCTCGCGCGATGAGCAGGCCGAAATCGTGCAGGAACTGACGCCGGTCATGAAACGCGAGAATCAACGCAAAACAGCGACCCCGGAAAGTGTGATGGACTTCTTTTTGGCCAGGGTCTGCACCAACTTGCACGTGGCCTTCTGCTTCTCGCCGGTGGGCGAGACGTTCCGGTCGCGGGTGCAGCGTTTCCCCGCCTTGGTCTCCGGCTGCACCATTGACTGGCTGCATCCGTGGCCCAAGGACGCCCTCGTCTCGGTTGCCCGACACTTTCTGAGCCACTTCGAGATCGAGTGCACGCCGGCCGTCAAGGAGGAGCTAGTGAATGCCCTCGGCTCCATACAGGACATCGTTGCGGAAACGTCGCAGGAGTACTTCCAGCGATTCCGGCGCGCAACGCACGTGACACCCAAATCTTATCTGAACTTCATTGCCGGCTACAAGAACATCTACCAAATGAAGCAGCAAGAGCTGCGTGATGGTGTGGAGAAGATGGATACGGGCTTGGAGAAACTGAAAGAGGCCTCCGCCTCGGTTGAGATCCTCAAGAAGGATCTGGTGGTGATGGAGGAGGAGCTGGTCGAGGCCTCCAAGAACGCGGAATCAGTGCTAGTGGAGGTGACGGAGCGCGCGATGCAAGCGGAGATTGTCAAGAACCAGGTGCTCATCGTCAAGGACAAGGCCGAAGCCTTGGTGGCCTGCATTGCCCAGGAGAAGGCGCTGGCCGAGGAGAAGCTGGAGGCGGCCAAGCCAGCCCTGGAGGAGGCCGAAAACGCCTTGAACACCATCAAGCCGGCGCACATTGCCACGGTGAGGAAACTGGGCCGTCCGCCGCATCTGATCATGCGGATCATGGACTGCGTGCTCATCCTCTTTAAGCGGAAGCTGCATCCCTGCATTCCCGACGCGGGCACTCCCTGTCCGAAGCCCTCGTGGCAGGAATCCCTGAAGGTGGGTCTCTCTATTTTTTCAGGAAAGTGCAGCATAAAGTGGTAAAGTATTTAGGAGGGTTCAAGGTACATTGAATGCCAAATATATGCTTAATTTCTTATTTATTTTCCAGCTCCTTTAAGCTTTTGCCCGTTTTGTTTTACTAAGCTTTCAACTTCAACACGGCTCTATTTCTATTTTAAATCAATTTTAATTCACTTTAAAATGTAATATAAATCAATTCCAAAATTAAATCTGCCAGCTCTTCTCACCCATCTTTCATTTTAAGTGCAGCAACTTCTAGCGCTCATAAGTATGCTACAAAAATTGTTTTTCATTACTATGCAAATAGAGTGCAATATTTATCATATATCATAGTCGGTTCACTCGACTATCGCCGTACTCACTTGGTATTCCCCCGCTCCCCCACTCCCCACCAGATGATGGCCAGCGCAACTTTCCTGCTGCAGCTGCAGAACTACCCAAAGGACACCATCAACGACGAGATGATCGATCTGCTGCAGCCGTACTTCCGCATGGAGGACTACAACATGGACATGGCGCGGCGGGTGTGCGGCGACGTCGCCGGCCTGCTGTCCTGGACAAAGGCCATGTCCTTCTTCCACAGCGTCAACAAGGAGGTGCTGCCCCTCAAAGCGAATCTAACGATGCAGGAAGCGCGACTTAAGGTGAGCTAAGCTAAACAATTCTGAAAAAAATGGATTCTTATTGTATATAAAATTTGTAAAAGTGGCAAAACTTTATCGGACTCAAATTATTATTTGCCATTTTAAACATGAACATAGTTCAACAGCTGCGTTTTCCACACTCTTCCATCATTTTTCTTCAAAATAACAACAGTTTAAAGGAATTATGTTTTTTGGGCTTTAAATTGGGTAAATGAAACTTAACAAAAGTTAAGTTAAAACAGTTTAGTCTGGAAAATCACATTTGGCCATAATACGAGTAATGTACGATTGAAATGACCCTTACATTATTTTCAAAAAATTTGCCGAAAATTAAACATTTTTAGGTGAGAATGGCAATCAATTGGAAATTAAATTACGAGTTTAACGAGATTACGCCCTCTGATTTCTGATAAGTACTTTTTTCGTTTTAATTAAAAATTAAGCGTTAAGGGGAAAATCATGTTAAGGACTTTTGGCCAAAATATGAATTAATTTTATTGCATTTTGGGATGTAACTCGATTAAAATTACACACACAGCTAAAAGGCGTGATGTTTTAGACAACCTCATCTAATCAACCATTTAATTTAATTTTAATTTTTTGTAAGTTTTGGTTTTTGTAAGGGAAAATTGGTATGTAATAATTAAAATTAATTTTGTTTTAGTTGAAAATGCTATTCAATTCGTAATTTTAAAACGAGTTCATCAAAGTATGACAATTGGATTTCTACTTCCAAGTATATTGTTTAAAAAATATGGATTTTTATGGCTTATTAGAGAAATATTTAATACTCATAAACTGATAAAATAAGCCTTAGCTTACTATGATACATATTTCTAAGAGATGCTCTTGAACCTAGGCTAAGTAATTATTTCTAAATTATTTTATTAATTATCTTATTAAATGATCAATTTCAGCTTGCCATGGACGACTTGGCAGGTGCGGAGGAGCAGCTGCGGGAACGGGAGGAGGCTCTGCAGGCTGTCAAGGATCAGTACGACAAGGCTGTTGGCGAAAAGCAGCGGCTGACAGATGCGGCCAATGTTTGTCTGCGGAAAATGACAGCGGCTACGGCTTTAATCAACGGCTTGTCCGATGAAAAGCACCGGTGGACCAACCAGAGCAAGGAATTCAAGATACAGTTGGGCAAACTGGTGGGAGATGTCCTTTTGGCCACCGGATTCCTATCCTATTGCGGCCCCTACAACCAGGAATTCCGAGCCAATCTCATTAAGACCTGGATGGGAATACTGAAACAGAAGAATATACCCTTCACCACTGGATTGAATATCATTAACATGTTGGTGGACTCGTCAACTGTGTCCGAATGGACCTTGCAAGGATTACCCAACGATGAGTTGTCGGTGCAGAACGCTTTAATAGCAACAAAGTCCAGTAGTTATCCTTTGTTGGTGGATCCGCAAACGCAGGGAAAGATCTGGATAAAGTGCAAGGAGGATCGCAATGAGCTGCAGATCACTTCCCTGAACCACAAGTACTTCCGCACTCATCTCGAGGACTCACTTTCACTCGGCAGACCACTTCTGATCGAGGATGTGGGCATCGACTTGGATCCGGTGATTGACAATGTCCTGGAGAAGAACTTCATCAAGTCGGGCAGCATTGAAAAAGTATTGGTGGGCGACAAGGAATGCGATGTGATGCCGGGCTTCATGCTCTACATCACCACTAAGTTACCCAATCCAGCTTTCAGTCCGGAGGTCAGTGCAAAGACATCCATAATTGATTTCACTGTTACCATGCGGGGACTGGAGGATCAGCTTTTGGGAAGAGTTATCCTGATGGAGAAATCCGATCTGGAAGCCGAGCGAGTTGCACTCTTTGAAACAGTAATGCAAAATCAGAGGAATATGAAGGAGTTGGAAGCGAATCTCCTGCTTCGCCTGAGCTCATCCCAAGGATCCTTAGTGGATGATGAGGCTTTAATTGAGGTCCTGCGGGTTACTAAAACCACAGCGGAGGAGGTCAACCAAAAACTCAAAATCTCCGAGGTCACAGAGCGAAAGATTATGAAGGCCAGAGAAGAATTCCGAGCGGTGGCCAAACGCGGATCGATTCTCTATTTCCTGATTGTGGAGATGAGCAATGTGAATGCCATGTACCAGAATTCACTAAAACAGTTCCTGGTGATCTTCAACCACTCCATCACCAAGTCCACAAAGTCCAGTGTCACCGAGGAGCGAATAAATATCATATTGCGATATCTTACCTATGAAGTCTACAAGTTCACCAACCGCAGTTTGTACGAAAGACACAAGCAACTATTTACCTTAATGCTGGCCATCAAAATAGATTATCACAATGGAAATATCAGTCACGAGGAATTCCTGACCTTTATTAAGGGCGGTGCCTCATTGGATTTAAATGCCGTGACCCCGAAACCCTTCCGCTGGATCCTAGACATCACCTGGCTAAATCTGGTGGAGATCAGCAAGCTGGAAACCTTCTCCACGGTTCTCCAGGTGATTGAGTTGAACGAGAGGGACTGGCGCTGCTGGTATGAATGTGAGAAGCCGGAAATCGAGGAAATCCCCTGCGGATATAATGCCATACTAGATGGTTTCCGGAAACTGCTGCTTATCAGATCTTGGTGTCCCGATCGCACTATTTCACAAGCTAAGAAATACATAGAAGGTGGGATCTGTTGTTGTTATTAATTATCAATTTATTGTATGATTTATTATTTTTACAAGAATCCCTGGGAAGCGAGTACAGCGAAATGCAAATTCTAGATCTGGAGGAGATGTGGTAAGATATACAAAAGCAATAAGCAATATATTAAGAAATAAGAAATTTAAATAAATAACAAATAAAAGGTTTCCATATGCTAATGCCATTCAAATATATTTTTTAGGCTCGAATCGGAACCTCGCACGCCATTTGTGTGCCTCCTTTCCATAGGATCGGATCCAACTACCCAGATTGGAGCTCTGGCCAAGCAAAAGAGCATAGGTAACAGAATAATATAAATATCCCTTCCATAACACTTATAAAATCAAACCCTCTTCGCAGTTCTCAAATCCGTTTCGATGGGCCAGGGGCAGGAGTACCACGCCCGCAAGATGATAATCGAATCGATGGCCATCGGCGGATGGGTGCTCCTCCAGAACGTGCACCTGTCGCTGCCCTTCTGCTCCGAGATAATCGACATGCTGGTGGAGAGCGAGCACATCGACGACTCCTTCCGGATGTGGGTAACGACGGAGCCGCACAACGAGTTCCCCATCGGACTGCTGCAGATGGCTCTCAAATTCACTAATGAACCACCACAGGGGATACGTGCGAGTCTAAAGCGCAGCTACCAGGTGGGCAAATAATTCTTCTTTTCAGGGGGGTCTCTCTGCTTAATATTTAATTTTCAATCTTTTTTACTTTCGCCGTGCCGCAGTCGTTCACCCAGGACTTCCTCGACTACACGTCCGCCTCGCAGTGGCCTCCGCTGCTCTACACCGTCGCCTTCCTCCACACCATTGTTCAGGAGCGCCGAAAGTTCGGTCCTTTGGGCTGGAACATACCCTACGAGTTCAACCAGGCGGACTTCGCGGCCAGTGTGCAGTTCATCCAGAACCACCTGGACGAGATGGACCCCAAGAAGGGCGTCTCCTGGCAGACGCTCGTCTACATGATTGGCGAGGTGCAGTATGGCGGTCGGGTGACCGATGATTTTGACAAGCGATTACTGACCACCTTCACGTCGGTGTGGTTCTGCGAGCCACTGCTGTCCAACTCCTTCGAGTTCTACAAGGGATACAAGGTGCCGGGGACGAAGAGTCTGCAGGGGTTCATCGATTACATCAACAGTTTGCCGGCCTACGACACGCCCGAAGTATTTGGCCTGCATTCGAATGCCGACATCACGTACCAAATAAACTCGGCCAAAGGTGAGTTTTTCCCGTGATTTCCGTTCCGTTGCGAATTTAATTCGTTTGCCAGCGGGAGCGGGTGGAACCGCAAATGTCCTTGCCCCCGGGAATCGGTTATTTTTAGTTTAGTGCCACTGATGGACACCATCATAAATTATGCGATGCGTTTAATTTAATGTAAAGCCCTGTTGCATAATCAATTCTCGAATGCCAGCACGAGTGTGTGGAATCAATAAACCGAATATTTCGAGCTCGGTTGGGAAGTGGGGCAAAACCCATTTGGGCATTAGCGCATTAGCATACTCAATGCTCGATGACGATGGTTCGATGGTGGCCCGAAAAATCCTTGATTGTTTGCTTCTCATTCTCGGCGGCAGGCATCCTCGACACCATTCTGAGTGTGCAGCCCAAGGAGGGCGGCGGCGGAGGCGGCGAGACCCGGGAGAGCATCGTCTATCAGCTGGCAGATGACATGCTGCGCAAACTTCCCGCCCAGTACAACGCCTACGAGGTGCGGGAGAACCTCACCCGGATGGGCATCCTCCTGCCCATGAACATTTTCCTGAGGCGAGTAAACCCTATCACTCCTATCACAGCAAATGGCCGGCAAATACGAGCAAGCTCTTTAATTGCAGGCAGGAAATCGATCGGATGCAGAGGGTCATCAAGCGGGTTCACACCTGCCTCTGCGACCTGAAGCTGGCCATCGATGGCACCATTGTGATGAGTCCCGCCCTCAAGGAGTCACTCGATGCCATGTACGACGCCAGGATTCCGGAGACCTGGATGAAGGTTTGTGCCCTTAATTGATTTTGTTATCCTTAACTATGCCTTCAATTACTGAATGTGCAGTGAACCTCCTTGGATTTGAGTCACCTTTTAAAAACTACAAAAATGTTGTGGAAATTTTCTGTACAATATGGAAATTTTTACAATATCTGCTTTTCACTTTATTCTGGGAAAAATAATTCTTTTTCTAACCTCTCATATTTGGGGGTTCGTAAATTATGCGTGAAAACGTTTGACGCCCCAAAGCTTGATAATCGTATTCAGTCCTCGATGCTGGAAAAATCTGGTAAAATATAATGAATACTTATCTTGGCAATGAGAACAAAAGGTGTTGAATGTAAAAAAACAAAGGGTGCTTCCGGTTCGCTCCAACAAAAGCGTACTATCCAAATGTATACATACATATCTCAAGTCATCGTAGAAACTAACTTCAATACAAACACAAATATACGGAACAAAGATATAAGACTCAATTAAACTTTACAATCGCCATACTCATAAAGAATGTCGGACACTAGGTCTCTCTTCAAGAAAGATGCCAATTTTGATATAGGTCCCCCTTCGCACGATGATCTCGCGACTCGAACCTATGGATTCTTGAAGGCCACTCGGACTGACACCCCGATTCCCAGGCCCATTGATCCCCTCAATCACCAAACTCTGGAGCAGAGGCTGCACACTCTCCATGACCTCCATCACATGGGCTCCGAAGACGAGCTGCTCATTTCGGCCGAATCGGCTTCCTCCGAGGAACCCGTTCGCAAGGCATCGACCGCCTTCGAGAAGAAGCGAAAACTCTTCGACGAGGCCGAGTTCACCATTGCTCGTGGTGTCAAGATGAGCGAAAGCTTTTGCCCAAGCGATTCCGGGCTGCAATTGCCGATAATACCAAAGGATCGCAGTGTGCTGACCTCCTACGAGGAGGTGGAGTCCTACTGCCGCCAGATGAATTTTCAACTGAGTAAATGAGTCGCTGGAGGGACTTGCCGTAACAATCTATATATGTTTGAATATGCTCCTTAATAAAGTCTTTCATACTCACCTGGCCGGGATTTCGTTGCTTTGGTTGCATTCGTTGCTCCGTTTGAATCTCGGCAAGCCGATAATTTCATGTCCGTGTCACTTGCAGATCTCCTGGGAGTCGACCACTTTGGGTTTCTGGTACACCGAGCTGCTGGAACGCAACGGGCAGTTCAGAACCTGGATATCCACAGACCGGCCCAAGGTGAGCCAAACAATGGATAGTTGTTCGGAGGCAAAGCAATCTCGTTTATTAACCCGCAACTAGGTTTTCTGGATGACCGGCTTCTTTAATCCGCAGGGCTTTCTAACAGCCATGCGACAGGTGAGTGTACACTATATACAGTATATATAGTATATATATTAACAAGAAGCTGAATGGGCAGAAATCATTTGTTACTGCTCAGAAGTTGCTTAATAAGCAGACGGCATATGAATACCAAAAGAAGCACTCGACCTTCTTTAACCGCAAATCGATGTTCTGCGGAAATAGGTCTTTTGTCATTCGTATCGCAGGTCGGACTCGTACTTCCTTTATCCGCCGACGATTGCCATTAAAACGCACATTCTCCCCTGCACTGATTGACGTATCTGATTTCGCACCTTAAAGGCCGCTCCGTTCCATTCATTCTTTGCATGTCTGGGGAAACACTCGAAAATCGATGTCAGGAGGTGACGCGGGCCCACAAAGGCTGGGCCTTGGACTCGGTGGTTCTGCAGAATCAAATAACGCGCTACAACAAAGAGGACATAACCGAGTACCCAACGGAGGGGGTCTACGTGCACGGACTGTTCCTGGAGGGTAAGTACACTTCAAAAGGGCAAAAATCTTTAGGGTTCTAAATTTAAGAAAGTGAAGATAATAGTTGATTAAGCTTCAATGATATTCGATGAACAAACTGAGCTACAAAACATTATACACTATTTCAAGCAAAAGTAACTTCGTAGGGTGTAGTAACAGGTTATGAACCTCCATTTAAATGTGCTTTACAGGTGCCTCCCTGGATCGTCGCAGTGGCAAGCTGATTGAGTCCAAGATGAAGGTGCTGTACGAGCAGATGCCGGTCATCTATATATACGCGATAAACACGACGGCCGGCAAGGACCCCAAGCTGTACGAGTGCCCCATCTACCGAAAGCCCCAGCGAACGGACCTTAAGTACGTGGGTTCGATTGATTTCGAGACCGAATTCAATCCCAAGCACTGGACCCTGCGAGGAGTGGCCCTCCTGTGCGACATCAAGTGAACCGCCCAATTGGCCGAATGGCCATTGTTTGCCGTCATCTCATGTCAACGGCTGTACGTGAGTGGGGCTCCTAATGGCCCTGTGATAATTATCTTTTTTTTCTTCTTTTTTTTCTTTGTTTTTGGGTTGGTGGGTGGACGTTAAAGTTTTGTGTAATCCGGCGCAAATACAACGTTATTAATTAGGCCCTCGGGCGAGGTGGAACACAGAGCAAACTGTTTGCACTCGGGAACAACCAGCACAATTATTAGCTCTTATCCATTTTGGTCAATCCTGCGAGGCGGGTTACCAAAAAAAAAAAAAAGAAAATCACATATAGTAGAATCCTTAGAGAGTTAAGCATGTGAGTAGCGAAATCGCAGAGTTTAATAAAGGCAAACGAATGTGTAGAAATTAAGCTGCAAGTCTTTTGGCCAACTTATATGGCTTTTGATACCCTGTAAAGGAAATGGAGTGCCTGCCTTGTATTACTTGTATAGTAAACACCCAGGTAAACACAATTGCCGTAAGTATTGATTGAAGGAGAGTTCAAAAACCTTTGTTTTAGCCTCCTTCTCTTCCTCTTCTCCTTGCCAATATAAATGGCGAAATTCGTTCTAGAGAATTATGAATGTTTATCTGGCAAATTGCGTCCTCAGAAAGTTAATTAAACGAAATGCTTTGTAATTGAATGTCATGTCAATGCCTCATGATTTTATTTTATTTGTTTTTTAATAAGTAGGTATATTCGTACATACATATAATTTTGTATAATATATAATTTCGTTTGATTTCTCTTTTTGGAATTTTATTAGTTTAGCTTCTTTGAAAAAGGAGTTTTATTTACATACACATATAGAAATTAGCTTGTATTAAATTTATTAATGTACAGAACGTAACTTTAAAATGGTTAATTTGCTCGGTAAATTCCTTGTTAATTTACACAACACGTGGCGTATTCATGTATCGAAGTACTTGCTTGGGTAGTTGGGCTGATTTTGATCTACTTTAAAATCGTTATTCGTTATTTCGTTATTCGTATGATTTGGAACCATTTGTCTCTTAATATCTTAAAACTCGAACCCTTCAACAACGCAAATTCAATAGTGACCAAATGCAAGCGAACGTAACGTTTAAACAGTATCTGCGTTTTGTTAATTCTATTTGAGCATTTTTACATTAAAGAGGGAGCAAACATAAAAACCAATTTCCGCCCGCGGAGTGTGTAAACCACAATTAACATTTTGGGTTACCAATCAATTAGGAGATGCACAGTTGTTTACGTGGATAAAAACACGAAAATCCCATTCGACAGGTCAATATTGCATGCGATTGATTAACGTTAAATGTTAAAATAATTATTTAAGTTACACATAGATCACTATCAATTACGCATGCATGCATTTACGTTAAATATCCATTGAGTTGTTTGGTTTGGTTTGTGGCTTGTTAGCAAAAGAGTTTCTCGATCTAAGTAGCTAGTAAAGTGGGAATGTTTGACATTTATCGGGGGTCGTCTTCTTTGGGTTTCAGTTGTTTAACAGTATCTGCGAGAGGTAGCATAAATCGTTACATACACCGTTGGTTAATCTTCGATAAAATAGAGTTCAAATGCGAGTACATCTAGCAACGTGGGAGTAAGTTTGTCATCAAGGGAGTATGTGCACACACAACACACCATGCCTGCCTTGCAGCCAGCCATTAGGAACCGTCGATTTGCATTAATAATCGTCTAAAGACCTCCTGCCTCTTGCTGTTGGTATCGTTAATCTGTTTTGGGTATCTTTATCTGTGTCTCTGTATCTGTATCCGTGTATCTGTATCTGTATCTCTGTTAGTTGCCCCACCATTCGCACCTACTTAATTAACATTACGCTGGCTCTTGTGAAAGCGATAGGGAAATGACCAGGGCAGTCGGTCATTTCCATTGGCCGCGCCTCGGTTTCCGCCACCAGAAGCCATCAGCAGCTCGTTGCGCTCCTCGTTCTCCCAGTTGGGCTTGTCCTCGAACCCATCGAACCGCTCCAGACCCAATTCCAGACCCAGTCCCAATCCCACTCCCTCCTGCGGCTCCTCATCCTCCTCCTCCCCATCGAAATATCTCGCCGGGTTTTTACTGCCACTTCCATTTGCGTTCTCGTTGGTCTCGTGTTCATGGTTTGTTTCGTTGGCTTCATTTCCGTTGACCCGTCGCCTGAGCAGTGATTTCTTCGCATAGCTGAGCAACTCCCGAGCAGCTGCGGATGCCCTTTGACCCGCCATCACGTGGGTATGCCCTCGATTGGCAACCCTGTTTGTGTCCGCATCCGCATCCGTGTCCGTGTCCGTGTCCGTATCGGGGGACTGTGGCCAGTCGTAGCGCCAGAGTTGACTGGGGAGATGCTTCCAGGGCAGCAGCAGCTGCTCCTGCTCCTGCTGCTCCAGTTCCACATCCTCCCTTTCCCTCTCCCTCTCGCTCTCCCTCTCCCTTTCCCGCTCCAGTTCCAGCTGCAGTTCCCGCTCGAGTGGCCATGGCTGGCGGTACCGCCGGCTGACCCTCGGATGTCCTGCCGGTCGCCACAGGACCCGCTTGCCCACGTTCTTCAGGATGGCGCGGTTCAGTTCCACCTGAAAGGTAATTCAATTCACATAAAATGCTCTAAAATGCCGCAAAATGCTGTAAAACGCTCTGTGAAATAGTTGACAAAGTGCACGGTTAGTTCGAGTGGCTCCCCTTTCCCCAAAGGATTTGTCATGGGGAAAGCGAAACTAAATTGACATTCATGATGGATGACCACACTCGCAATGTTGTTAACGTTTCAGTTTGGTTCGCCAATCAAGTGTCATTTCGTTAGTTTATTAATTGAGAATGAGGACATGGCATAGTTACATTTAGCAGTTTGAATCTTTAATAAAGAGTTTCTGTGGAACAGATATATTTATAAAGTAAAACGAAAATGTGTTCACAATCATGTTTACAAATGACATGATTACAGATGTTTGCATGAAATGGTTGTCACATTTATTGAAAGACTATCTAATCCTTTACACAACTATTGGGTAAACACGTTTCAGGTTTTCTAAAATCTCAGGTGTTTGCTACCAAATCTACTCAATGTTTCAACTTGGATGATTAATGGTTGCAGATTTATCAAACTTGTTAAACATGACAGTTTCCTTAGTTCGAAAACTATTTTAAAATACCTCTGCTTTCACAGCTAAAATTTTAATTTAGTTATCTGAGTGTAAAAGCACACTTCCTATTGGCAAATTCACTTTTTTTTTGTATTTTAATTTCTTTCTGTCTGTGAAAAGGGGGTTTTTAAAGAGACAGGTGTTTGCTTCGAGCTCTGAATTCAATGCCTTAGTCTCAAGTTCAAATGAGTTTGCATTGTTTGGATGAAAGTCTTTTTTGCATTTGCTGGATTGAGCAGAAACAAAATTGTGATCCATTTCTTTTAAGCTCTGAATAAATATGTGGATTTCTACAAATATGCATCCAAATTAAAGTGTCAAATGTCTGTCCAATAAGAAAATATTCATGGCTTCTAAAGATACTTATTGCTTCTAGAAAAGCGATATGTTTCTATTTAATTATTTGTGAGTAAAACTCGCCTACTTGTCTTTATTTATTTAAACCTGAAGGCATTTCATTTCCATTTTACTTTCACTTTTACAGCAGGGACACTTAAAGTCCCAGGTGTTTGAATAGAATATTATACCTGTTCAGCTCATCTTTCACCGATTCAAATTGCTTTTGGGATGCATGGATTAATTTGTAAAACCCCTTTGACAAATCAATACCGTTATCTGTGTGTGAATAGGCACATCCATGCTCATCCATGACCACCGCAGTGGAGCCTCCCTAAAAGGGATTCGTGGGCCGAAAGGTGAAGCTATCAACGCAAATCGTTTGAATTCCTCGCCTTAAAACGTTTGATTTTTTTTGCCTCTTTTTCTTATTTTTTTTTTGTCTTTTTGATTGTGCCTTGGGGGCGGAGCGTTTTGGTAACCAAATAAACTCGCTTTGTTGCCGAGCGAAAATATTTGTGTTACACATACGCCACGTTGTCTTTGTTTTGGCGCCGAGCTGAGCCGTATGCATGTTCTATATGTACATGGTACATATTTTTGTATTTTGGGTGTCAGGGCCAGCCGAAGTGCTTAAGCCCTGATTTTGGGATGTTGTTTACCTTCCCGGAGAAAGTATGTGGGCTTCCCTAGAGCTCCGAATATTTATTGGACTCGCCGAGCGATGAATTGAAAAACTTTCTCCTGCAGCTGCGTTATTTATGGTCTCGAAAGGAATTTCTCATTAGGCATTCTAGTTTTGATTAGCCGCCCGCTACAATTTCCATTTCAACTCTGCACCGAATTACTCTTTCCACTTAAGACAGACATTTAGCTAGAATTGTTTTCCGCTTTTCCATTCTCCGTTGTCTTGCACTGAGTTTTTCAGCGAAAGTTTCCCCCCTCCTTATTTTAGCTTATTAAAAAATACCTCGCAAAGTGGTCAGCGTGGCCCGTTTATTGCAGCATCGAAATGCTGAACTCACCTGGCGGGAGTTCTCCTTCATTTGCCTCCGTGCGATTTCCAGGAGCAAACGCTGACGCAGGACATCCAGGGGATTGACAATGGACAGCGACGGTTTGTTTCGTTTGGCCAGCAGAAAGTCATCCTAGATGGGGAAAGCAAATATATACATATATACTATATATAGTAGTACGCACATTTACATTTACTGCAAACTTCTTAGCGCTTCGCATAATAAAATCGTGGCAAGGTAATGCAAAAAGTTTTAAGTCCCCCTGTTTATAAACAGTTCTGCGTTCGAAGTTTATTGTTCTGTTTTTATGAAAATTAAAATCCTTGTCATCAATGGAGGGTGACAATCTTAAGGGCCAGCGCTATCGAAGGCATTATATCACCTTTTGTTTTTCCCACATTGGGGGCAATTATCGCTAAAATCAATCTAGGGTTCTTATCTGCATAGTACTACACTATACCACGTTTTTTCCAGTAATGAATAATCGGAATTTCGCTTTACCCGTACTTCACTGATAACGAAGAAATTTTCAAGCGTGAGTCACTGCTGAAAAATAATTAGGAAACAATTGCGATGTGCAGAGCAGAAAACACCTGATAATTTACTTTTACAATACCGCATGACAACCCCAAAATTTCTTTGGCCCAGAAAAAAAACATTATAAAAGCAATTCGCCTTAAGTCATAAAGATAGTATAAGAAATCCTACTTAGTCTAGGCAAATGTTTATAAATGTTTCTGGGGAAATTTTGCACTAATTCATTTTGTTTAATTTCTAAGAAGCCTTAAGTTCAAGGAGAATGGTAAACAAGCAATCCGTGTTCATGTTCAGATAAATATGATAATTACGATTATTGTTTGTCTGACTATCAGACATGCTGGCGATTAGATAAGAACTTGGCTGTGTGAGGTCGCAATGTCTGGGGGAGTGTAGTGGACATGGTTATCAGATTTCTATAAAAGCTATAGCCACCTGCAGAACCCGGTAGTATATTCGAAACGATAGCGAAATGAAGGTTCTAACGCTCTTCTTGTTGACTGCTCTGGTGGCAGTGGCAGTTGGCCGGCCAAACGGCGGATGGTTCGGCAACTTTGGCGGCAAATGGATCAAGAACTTCGGTTGGGGATCCGACAACGATAGTCAGGGAGTTCAGGAACAGAAGTGGAACAACCAGAATCAGTGGAACGGAAACGGACATGGCCAGAACCAGGGTCAGTGGAATGGCGGAAATGGTCAGGGTCAGTGGAATAACGGTAACAACCACGGACAGTGGAACGGCGGTAATGGACACGGTCATGGCCACGGACAAGGAAATGGCCACGGCAACAACCATGGTCATGGTCACGGACACGGAGGTCACCGCCCACCACCACCACCACCACCAACCACTGATGTGCCCGAAGACGATGATGTGTCCACCACCGATGTGACTAACCCCACGGAGGAGACCACTCTGGCCCCCGAAGTTCCGGAGGAGTCCACCACTCAGGCTGCCGAGGAAACCACCTTGGCCCCTGAAGTTCCGGAGGAATCCACCACTCAGGCACCGGAAGAGGATACCACTGAGGCTCCTGAAGAGGATACCACTCAGGCACCTGAAGAAGACACCACTGAGGCACCGGAAGAAGACACCACTCTGGCTCCTGAAGATCCCGAGGAATCCACCACCCAGGAACCAGATGAAGAAACTACTGATTCTGGAAGCGGTGCTCCCGAGGAAACTACTCAGGCTCCCGAAGATCCAGAGGATTCGACCACCGAGGAGCCCGAGGAAACAACCGAGGATGGAAGCGGCGCTCCCGAGGAAACCACTCAGGCTCCCGAGGAACCGGAAGATTCCACCACCCAGGAACCAGAGGAAGTAACCACTGACTCCGAGGATGGCAGCGGTTCCACCGAGGAATCCACTCCTGCCCCCGAAGTTCCCGAGGACTCAACCACTCAGGCGACTGATGAGCCTGAAGACTCCACGACTGATTCTTCAGCGGCCTAGGAAGCTATTTCGTTCATCAGAAAGGTTCCTAAAGAGTCTGATGTTCATACAAATCGTTTAAAACGCATCCTTTCAAAGTAACAAAGAACTTTTAAACGAAATATGGAGCAAATATTAAACTGTTATAGCTAAATTATTCATCGTGTTTCTGCCGAACCACGTGGCCTTTTATAGAACTAAGTCTGAAGCCTCATGAATTAACATCGTGTTATGTAGTCACGCATTCGTCATATAGCTTTATAGTACCGACAATCTGAACAATTAAAATTACCACAAAAAAAGAAAAAACTAAAGACCCTCAACTCTTTATTTACGATTGTACCTAAAAGCTTAAAGGTCTATCCGCATTGAATGCTTATCACGAAACTAGCTTTCGATTTTTCTGACCATGACGGTATTGTTGATTGGATGTTTCTTTGGCTGTTAAATCATTGATACATATAGTACATCAATCAAGGATCCGCTACTTGACTGATTAGTTGGCAAATCGACCCTTATCGGTACATAAATAAGTTGTGTTGCTGTGTGTTACTGCGGTTAATGACGTGTCATATTTGGCCGAACAAATGGAAAATTTCGTAATTGGCTTTTAGCCTGGCCCCGAGGTTCATTCGGTTTAAACTGCTGCCTCATGATAAAACATCATTTCTTTCGGCAAATAAAGTGAAATTGTTTACGTAGGTCGCATTATTGTGCTTAAATCTCCAATTTCACAAACGAACTTCAATCACATTTAAATTGCGCTGAATAAAGAATCGACTTTACGCAATTTGAACTTCTTAAAAAAGCTGAGGTGAAACTTTTGATTGTGGACAACGAGAGTTGTTGAAGACAAATAAAAATTGTTTCTTTGTTTTCTCCTAATGACGCTCGGACAAAATCCTTGACGAAAATTTCCATTTGTTTTGAAAGCCAAAGACGCGAATCAATTTTGTTGCCAAGTTCGTGTGTGTCAAGCTGTATGCTATATATGATTTTTTTCGGTTGGTCCGAACCAGTTTCACATTGAGGTACTTCCTTACTCTGAAGTGCGTAGATTAGATTAGACCAAAAACCATTTAGATTCAAACGCATTTGATATATTGGATTTTTGGAAGTGGTTAAAGATTTCTCGGAATTGGGCAATAAGATTTGCCACTATTTTAAACTGTTTTGACAAGGGCTCACTTAACTAACATGGTGATAAACAAATCCAAATTGTTCTTTATTAATAGTTGCCTACGCAATTTCTCATACATATGTGATAATGAATAACAACATAGTACCTAACCCTTGTTATTACTGATATGGAAAACTATATCAAACAATTAAAATAAAATTCATGAACGCAAGCGGTCATTGTCGTTGGTTCCTTGAAATGCCCTTGTGTCGAACAATGTGTCAATTTATGAACAGAAACCAATGACGGGTGTCAAAGGAGCTATGAAAGCGACAGTTGGAAAAATGCAGAGCCAATAATTGAATATGCATTCGAATAAAAAACATTCAACCGAGTGACGCAAAAGCGGCTGCCACTCACTCACAAAGGGAGACGGACAGAAAGGACTGCATTCGGAATCGGACTCGGAATCGGATGCCCACCTGTGTGTTCCGTGCGTCGGGGTATTCCAGGGGATATCCGTTTGTGCGGCTGCTTCCTCCGACCTCTGCTCCCGATCCTCCCACTGCTGCTGCTCTTGCTCCAGGTCCTCCTGCTCCGGCTCCTGCTCCAACTGCTCCTGCTACTCCACCTCCTCGCTGGGCTGTGCAGACAAGCCTCGTGGCACACAGTAAAGTTAATAACACCGGACAAAACCACGCTGTGGCTTTCATCATTCTGCAACAGAAAAAATAGCGTTAAAATTGTAGAATCGCTTGGGTGAGTGCACAATTTACAGATATGCACGTAATGCGAATCGGTGCGCATATAAAAAGTATATAACATTTATCAAAATTAAGCAAAAACATTAATATTGATTCCGATCTATACAAAATCGTTGTCTGGCAAAACAAATGGAAAATTGTAGTCAAGTTTCCAGTTGAAATTGCAAAAATTTTTATTCAATTAGTCTTAAGCCAACATTCATAACCATTACCCTTTTAAATCCATTTAAAATATACTCCATAAATACACATGTATTAAAACCAGCTAAGGGTATTAAAAATGCCATAGAGTTACAGCGTTTTTGTGTGTTCATTTTTATGGAAAATTAAGCTTATCTGTGGCTATTATTTTAAAATTTCAGAGCCACTGCCTCTGCACTTTGACCTCTGTCGTTTTCCCCGCGGAATAGAGCGAACAAAATGCTGACAGCTAACCTGTGAAAAATGCGCAGAAATTCTGACAACAAGAAGTGTTCTCATAATTTATGGGCCACGTAAATATGTGGTACTTCTGAAACCTAGTTTTTTTGATGAACATTCGTATGCATATCAATCTCATGTCCCCGTGGACTTTTCAATCAGTTCGCCACGGGAGTTGAGTGCAAATTTACGGAACCTTCAAAAGGGAAATTAGATTTTAAATTGAAGACGTCGTCGTGTTAACTGCAGAGCAACAAGATTATTTTCCGGCTGCAGAGCTAAGCGGCTAAACTTGTTTTAAAAGCGAGAATATAAGTTAACTTCCGGAAGGCAATGTTTTTATATGCTTCACGCTGCTCAAACACACTTATTGCGTTCCTAAAATAGCTTTAATATTTCCGATAAATTTGATTTCCCTCTACAAGGGTAGACTATACAAACTAAAAAAGTTCTATCACCTGTGCTCTATAAATAGACACTTAATTAAGTAAAAGCATTTGTCGCCCTATAATAGATGCTTAAAGTTTCCTTGGTCTCTTTGTTTTATCCATCAACTCTCTCATGTATTAGAAACGTTTTTTCTTCTTCATGTTTTGTATTATAAGACCTTCAGGTGCCGGGAATTTTTTAATTGTATTAAAATAATAAAAGTTGGCTTTTGTTTCCCTACACCTACACAGTGTGTAAAATCATTATACTCATTCCCAAACTTCTACAGAGCAAGTTACTTTGAGCTACTAACAAAATTAATCAACAGTTGCTTAAACTACTGAACTTCTTGCTATTTTGTAAGCGTAACTCAAAGTTTAAACTACCATAACTCAAATTCCTCAATAAGTTAAAACAAACTTAAGCCTTGTTACCGCAGGGTGTTGAATATTTTCCCAATTTGAAACTAGAAAAATGCCAGTTGCAGGGCTAACTTTTAACACAAATTGCTTTTTGTAATCAAGACGTTTTAAAAACCAATTAAATTAAATTAAAATCCCCAAAACTGAAATGTGAGCATTCTTTCGAAAGTAAATTCCCACGTTACGTAAGGAATGCAAAGTTGTTAAGCATTTTAAGCAACTGAATTTCTTGCAAGCGAAACTCAAAGTTTGATCTCGCATAACTCAAATTCCTTCCTAACTGAAAATTAACTTCAGCTTTGTTACCGCAAGGCGTTAAATGTTATCTAATGTTTTAATCGCTAGAGACACGCCACTTTTCAAGTTACATTTTAGCACAAATTGGTTTTTGTGATGAAGGTATTTTAAAATCCAATTAAATTTCCTCGAAACTGAAATTTCAACATTGTTTCGAAAGTGAATTCCCACATTACCTGAATGGGAATTCAAAGTTTCTGCGCTCGCACACACAAACCCCGTTGAAAATTATGGCAGCTCCTTTGTTTTCGGTTCTCGGTTTTCGGTTCTCGGTTGGGGGAGCAACCTATGTGTATTCCATATCCCACCTGTCAGCAGGAGCATTAGACATCAGATATAAGTAACTGCTTAAATGGCAGCCGCATTAGTCCTGCCGGCAATCACATGTCATACGGATGCCATTTGGTTGAACAAGGATTTACGAATCGGGGCGCAAAATTCGTGGGTGGCTGCGGCACTTCGCAAACGACAATTGATGGCTATTGATTTCCCCTAATAGATCGCGTAAACGTGGTGAAAAGCGATGATGATGGGTTGGGGATGGTTGCCCAAACCACGAGCATTGAAGTTGCAGCGGAAATTGCACTCGAATTGAATTAGGGGTCGAGTGGAGTCAGCCGAACAGATGAATCCTCGTTGGAGAGGAGTTCCCGTGGCAGAAGGTCCTTTGATAAGGCGACGTAATGAATGAACTCCTACATTTGAAGTTGAACAAATATTGATTTTCTGGAAGTAATATGGAATTCAAGGCAATAAAACTGCCCTGCCCCACTGAGAGTTGTGAGTTGTGCCCATGACAGGACCATTGTCGTATTCCGGTGACGGTGACGGTGACGGAAATCGTGATTGCCGGGGGCCACTTGCCAGCACGTCCCTTCTTGTTTTATCGCCGATTCAAAAGCAGTCCTAAGCAGTCCACAAGGAAATGAAATCCGGCGTTATCTATGCCAACTTGAGATATTTACATACGCGTATGCAAATACGGGGAGTTCCAGTATGTGGGCCCCACCAAAGCGAATGAAAGTTTCTGCAGCTTTAAAAGCGCAAATCCCCATTTGATTAGCCCATAAAAAATGTGAACAAAAAGGTCAATCAATCGAGAGTCTAAAGCTCGAGAAAAGGCACTTTCGTCCCCAGCAAATTACGAGGTGTGATTGCCGACGCTGACAGCAACAAAAAAAAAACAGAAAAAAAAAAATAAATAAAAGTGAGGAAGGAACGCTCGCTAAGCTTGTTTGCAGTCTATTAAGTTACGTGATTTTGTTACCTGAAACCAGCGGCAACAATGCCCCACGCACATAGAACGAAAACTAATTAGCTTAAACGTTTTTTAAGCAATCAATCAACGTGGTCCCATTTGGGCATAAAATATTTTCGTTTCTCAGCTGAAATCTGATACGGTTGCGGAGCCAATTCGAAAACACACCAACTCAAAAACATAAAACATAAACATAAAACATCACATAAAAGGGAAATCACCTTATCAGTGGTAATTGCACCTAATTTCGTTGATTCTGGAAACGCACTCGACGGATTGATTTATGGCGATCGAGATATTTCGCGTGTGGGTTGTTTTATTTAATGTGTAATCTGTCGCGTTCCGTGGCTTTTATATATGTTTTTCTAATTTGTTTTATGTATTCACGCGGCGCGACTCGAAACGGCAATTGAATCGAAATCGAAGTAGGAAACTGTTGCTGGCTGGAGTTTTTTGGTTTTTCTCAAGCCTTCGCTGTTGTTTTTCCCAGCATCGAAACCTCGAACGCAACAGGCTGACGACGAGCGGAGGACTCACGGAGCATAGCGATTACGGCGTGTTTTTATATTGGCCGCCCCGAAGCGCCCGACACGACGAGCCACGATACGAAGGACTCCGACGAAGGCGTTGAGGAAGGATATGGGATATGGTACATGCTACAGCTACAGCTATTGGGAATAGAATACGAGGCGGCAGGACGAAGTTGGCCAGAGCCACGCGACGAGTTATGAATGAAAACGTGCGGGCACGGCGCCTTTGCCAGAATGATGGAAATCGAATCAGATGAGGCGGCCCAGACCGCAAGGGTTGGCTCCCCTAATAAATCACCGAAAGGTGTACCAACACATTAAGGAATTGACGAATTGATGGGTGGGCGGACGGGCTGGAAAAGTTTGGTAGGTGTTGCAGCAACATGTTGCCCGCGAGCGGTTACCCATCTCGCCGCTGTAATTATCGAACTCAATTAATATTTAATGAGTTTTATTTGCACATTAATTGTTCGATTTAAAGCCAGACGCCGAGCCGAGTTGACGAGGGATCTCCGCACCACTCAATGTCATGTCAAAAGGTGCTAACGTGGCCCGACATTCCGCTTGGCCGGCAATCGGGCGTAAAATTGCTCACCATAAATCCATCAAAGGCTAACCATGGGGGTCCTGCTGAAAAGATTGGGATCCCGTGCTCACAAAAGGGATTTGTTCTTATGTTAGTACAACTAACTTTTGATTAAGATACGTTTCCTAAGGAGAACTAGAAAAGGCGATGGATGATATGGATTTATTTGAATTGATTGCAATTTTGGGTGTCACGCTATTATTTCTTACTAATCTCTGTTATTAAGCTTTTTGACTTTTAGTGATAAGTAAACACTCATTTCAGAATACTAAAACTAACTCTGATATTTAGTTTAGCTTAACCGATTATTTACTTTAGTTTTTTAGTTAAGCACTTGTTAAAAGTTAAATGAGTTATAAATAACCAAAACAAAATTATAGTTGAGATTTAATTACGATTGTTTACATGCTTGTTAAAACTTTTTCAATTATGAGTAACACACACAGTTAGTTAAGCAATCTGAATTATAAAAGTCATCATATTTCGGCAACTTTTTTTACTACCAACAAGTTTAGTTGGCCCATGGAAGACTTAAGTGCAACAGTGTTGCCAGCTATCACAATTGTCCTTCGTCCTTCGGGACGTTGATCACCCACTTTGACATACTTTTTAATTGCTTTCAACACGTGTCTTCGAGTTTTAACGTATGTGCATGCATCGTCCTGTAATTAAGCACGTAGGCAAACGCCTCCATTTCCTGCCCAGCAGGATGCTTTATGGCTGATTGAATTCCGTCAAAATGCTACTCCCGCCACTCGTTTTTAATGTGAGCGATAATGTTATTGAGCGTGTAAGAGATTTTGTAGGTGCGATATAATAGGTTGCGAAACTTACTTTTCATTGTGCACACACCTTGTTTTCTCAACTATTAAAGAAGCGCCATTATAGTCTTGAATTCAAAAGCGTTGAATCCTTACTGTTTAAAAACCTTTAAGGGGTTAATAATAAACCTTCTTAATACTTTCACAATCCATTTTTTCTTAGGTTCTTTGTACTCATTAAGATGTTTATTAAATTATGCTCAGAGTTCAATCCCCACTAAATCGCCTACGATTACAACCCACTCGGCAACTCGCGGCCCAGAAACTTCTTTTGTCCGATTTGCGTAATAAGTCAATGACTCAACAACTCGTCTCTTGACACCCCTTTTTCTAATAGCCCACTGACGATTTGACAGGCGACTTAACGGACTTAACGGTAAACGGGCATTTAATGAGGAGCAGAAAAGGCAGTCGCCTCATTTCATCCAATTATCCTTGTTATGGGCAACCGATGGTTTCATCCAATTATACATGCTTTGACGATTGTGTGAGTGTCAAGGAACTTGGTGTCGGTCAAGTTAAGTCATTAATAATTAGGAACGCCTTAATCGCGACAGACACTTTATTGAATACTAAAGGAGGAAATAACTCATTCACTTAAACATTCAATTAACAATATTCTCCGGAACTTTTAACCACAATATTTGGCTTCCAGCTGAATCTCTTTGAAACGCGATTTTCATTGCAGTCGAAATGAGCGGATTATTCTTTGAAGCCTTTCAATTAAATCAAGTTACGGACCATTTAAGCATGGAAAGGAAAAATCAAACAGCAGTAGAAGTTAGTCAAAAAGTTAGCTTGGTATAAATTTCAGCTAATCCCAGAAAAGTTTCGCCAAACTTGTTTCATCTTTGAGGCTTCTCCGACGTCATGAGATGTAGAACTTACTGCGGACAAAATGTATTCGATCCCTTCGAATTAATGTAAGTCAATTATATTAATTCGCCTAACCACTTAATATATAATATTCATTTTATAACGTAACTTTCCCATTTCAAAATCATGTTCAACCAACCCCTTAATTGCGCATTTAACCCTTTCTGTGGAAAGTTTGTGTACCTGCGCCGCCTACAAATTTGCAGATAATAGTTTTGGGGGAGAACCCTTTTTTTCGCAAAAACAACTTGACAGCCATTAAAAATTAGCCACCTATTACGCCCACTTTATACAGCCAAAATTTGATTTACGAGCATATTGTACGTTTGCTGGATAAAAGAATTTCAATGGGACTAATGGGGTTTGTACGAATTATCTTAACAAAGCAATGACGGGTTCGTGGTGGTTTAAGTTTGTTAAACATACAAAATACCCTTTAATTTAATATTTAAAAATTGATTGCAACTTATTTTTTTCATTCTGTTATACATACTTTTAACAACGAAGTATAATTCTTTTAACAATAGGAATAATATAAAATAAATATAAATATAAAACTGAAGTTCTATGCATAAAGACAACTACGAAATTCATATCAATAATTAAATCAAACAGTGCATAATCAAAAAATTTGCAAGTTAAACGTTACTTTTGAAAAACAGTCGATGCGTCGATTTCATGCTTCGATAACATGAAATTATCGAATATCACTCAAAGCCATGATAAGTCGCACTTAATTATAAATCGATACGCCCGTATGACCGATAGTTCATCACTAGAAAAACAAATATGGCGGAGCCGTGCGTAAAAGTAAAAAAAGTGTAAAATTTTGCTGTTTAACCGACTCTGGCAAAGTAATTTCGCGTTGAAACCGCAAATTGGCAACTGCTCCATTCGTTAAATAAAAATCCCTACCTCTGGCGAACTAGGAACTGTTTTTGCGCCTTGCGCCAATGTTTGTAGAGTGCTGCTATGCGATTTGTGCTCCAATTTGTTATTACGTGACCTCAAGAACGCCGCAAAAATTCGCCAGGCAAAATTGAAAATAGTCCAACGCGAGTGCATTAAAAAAGGGACTTGTAGCTGGCGGCAAGTGATTGCAAGCAGGCGCAATGCATGTACATGCGTTTAAGTGCGCCGAAATAGAGCTAAACCGCATCAAAAAGATCGCCTGAGATGCCAAGGGGCTTGCCGGCGGGAAACAGCAAGTGCGACGACAACTAGGACAGCCCCAAAGGAGCCAAGAGAGCCATGTCCGGGGGACGCGACAGTAGCAATAGCAGCGGGAGCAACTCCGCTGCGGCGGGAAGCAATGCCAATGCCACCTCCTCATCATCCGCATCCTCCGCCACCGGAGCTAACGCCACCTCGCCCGCGTCTACGCAACGGCAACGCGGAAGACCGGCCAAGCGGGCCACTTGCACGTGGTGCGGCGAGGGGAAGCTGCCTCTGCAGTACGTCTTGCCTACGCAAACTGGCAAGAAGGAGTTCTGCTCGGAGACCTGCATCGCCGAGTTCCGCAAGGCTTATAGCAAGGGGGCGTGCACCCAGTGCGATAACGTCATCCGCGATGGAGCGCCCAACAAGGAGTTTTGCTCCATCATGTGCATGAACAAGCACCAGAAGAAGAACTGCTCCACCAGGCACAGCGGTGGCTCAACATCGGGCAAGGGTCTGGCGGAGAGCGAGCGCAAGTTGCTGGCCAGTGGAGCGCCCGCGCCGACGGGGCCCTTCCAATACGAGAGCTTTCACGTCTTCAACTGGGATGCCTATTTGGAGGTTAGTACTGCTGAAATTTATCTTTATAATCCAAAAACCATCAATGCGTTGCGTGTTTTAGGAAACGGGTAGCGAAGCTGCTCCTGCAGAATGTTTCAAACAGGCTCAGAATCCTCCCAACAATGACTTTAAGATCGGCATGAAGCTGGAAGCACTAGATCCACGCAACGTTACATCCACCTGCATTGCCACCGTAGTTGGAGTGCTGGGCTCCAGACTGAGGCTACGTTTAGACGGGAGTGACTCACAAAATGACTTTTGGAGGCTAGTGGACTCCACCGAAATTCATGCCATTGGGCACTGCGAAAAGAATGGTGGCATGCTGCAGCCACCGCTGGGATTCCGCATGAACGCCTCCAGCTGGCCTGGTTATCTGTGCAAGATCCTTAACAATGCCATGGTGGCGCCAGAGGATATCTTCCAGCCAGAGCCGCCTTCGCCAGAGGAAAACCTATTCAAGGTTGGCCAGAAATTGGAGGCGGTAGATAAAAAGAACCCGCAGCTGATTTGCTGTGCCACCGTTGACGCCATCAAGGATGATCAGATCCATGTGACCTTCGATGGCTGGCGAGGGGCATTCGACTATTGGTGCAATTACCGATCGCGTGACATTTTTCCCGCCGGTTGGTGTGCGCGGAGTTGTCACCCCATGCAGCCACCGGGTCATAAATCCCGCATGGACTCAAGCTCCAGCAAGCAGCGAGGTCCACGTCCCCGCTACACAGTGGTAACGGAATCGGAGGCTATGGTCCCCGCTTCTCCGGCTACTGCCCACTTCCATCCCAACTGCAAGGGCGGTCCGTTCATCAACAACTCAAAGTTGCCGTGCATGGTGACGGGGCCCACATACCAAACGCTGGCCAAGTTGTGTCTGCAGGAGGTTTTGGCAGCCAGCACGGACACGCAACAGCTTTCCAAGCTTCTGTTTGCATTGGAAGGAGATGTTCACATCGTAACGGCAGCGGGAAAGAATTTTACAGTGAGTATTATAATTCTACAACAATTCAACACAACATAAGTTTATTCTCTACAATTTATAAAGAACTAATTATGAATTTATGCCTTCACTCCTTTAAGGTTAAAATACCTTCGCCGCTGCGCATGAAGGATGACGAGAGCCTGGCGCAATTCATCGAAACATTGTGTACTACATGCCGAGCATGTGCGAATCTCATCTCCCTGGTTCACGAGACGGAGGAGTGCAAAAAGTGCGCCAACAGTCGAAAGCGCCAGTTGACCCAATCGGCTACACCGCCCACTTCACCAGTGCTCTCCGACAAGCGACATCGTCACTCGAGTTCGGCAACGACTCCACCCTCTGAGAAGGTGATCAAGCAGGAAGTGGGTGTTAAATCGCCCGCGGAGACCAAGCCGAAAACGCCGACGAACAACGGAAAGGAGCCTTCTAACCACCAGAACAACCACAGTCACAACAACAATAGTGCCAGTAAGCCCAGCACAAAGGCGATCATTAAAACAGAGAACGGAGTGGCCCCACAGACGTCATCCACAACGCAGGCTTTGCGGAAAGTACGCTTCCAGCACCGCGCCAACAGCAATAGCAGTGTGACCAATGGAAGCCTGGACGCGAGTCAGTCAACGCCCGTTTCCACCAGCCAGTGCAGCAGCTCGACAACATCATCTAGCACAAGTCTGGCCGGCGGATCGGCCAACACAAGCTCAATTGGCAAATACCTAGCGCCACTGGTGGCCGAAGTGCATCCGGAGCAGGTCAACGTGAAGCCCTCGAACAACTACTACAAGAGTCCTACGACACTCTCATCCAGCGCCTCATTGCCCACATCCGTGTCCACGCCTTTCACGGGCTGCCAGTCAGCCTCGTCCACTGCACTGGCTGCAGGCGGAGTTACGGCGGCTAAGGCGGCCACCGCTCCGGCAGGGGCAGCGGAAACGGCGGCTTCGACGAGCTACACAGCGATTACCTCACCCCTGAGCACACCCACGTCTGCTTCGGCGAACTCGCATCTGCGGTCGCAGCCCATCGACTGGACCATCGAAGAGGTGATTCAGTACATCGAGAGCAACGACAATTCCCTCGCAGTGCATGGCGATCTCTTCCGAAAGCATGTAAGTAACAACAACTTAATTAACGCTTTGAAACGATCGACTTATTGGTCTTGTGTTTACAGGAAATCGATGGTAAAGCTTTATTATTGCTAAATTCAGAAATGATGATGAAGTACATGGGCCTAAAGCTAGGACCAGCCTTAAAAATCTGCAATTTAGTCAATAAGGTCAATGGTCGTCGAAATAATATGGCACTCTAAAATAACACAGACTTGCAAGCAGAGAACTCTTGTTGAGTTGGACTTACATAGAAATTGTTAACAAATTAGTACCTCCCTCTAATGTAAAGCGAAACAAACATGAACAACATTCGATGATATGTTATGTGTTGGCTATTCCCGAAGAAAATAACCCTTCACCTTATTTTATTATATCGATAATATAAATCAAAGGCGCAAAATCGAATATAAGCGCGAAACATAAATTCCCTATTCAAAACGAACGCATAACAAATTGTAAACAGCCATGCTCCGGTTTTCAAAACCGTAATTTTTAGTTTTTGTTTATATTTTTTGAAAAACGCCTTAACGATTGCAATTAGGTACCTAAATTTATAAAATGTCTATCACGCGAAATTTGTATTTGAATACAAACTTTGTAGATGTGGGCTGTATAATCTACTCGAATTAGGCAAGTCTTTAATTATACATATATTCAAATTTGCCCAGTAAAAAAGTATACGTGCATAAATTATATTAAGTAGAGCCCGCAATTCCTAAAAAAGTGAAATAATTTTTAATTTTTTTATGATGCTCATTTCTTTGAAAACTGGAGTTAGGCTACCAAAAACGCAGTGCACATACATTATATTTATTACACATAAACACGCACATTAGACACCAAAATCTATCCGACACAAAAATGATATTTAAGAATAGACGAAAAAACAAACAAATATAAAATGAATGTACATATTTTACATATAATTTTGTAATTATGTATCAATTGCGTTTCCTAACTATAACACTATTTAATTAGTCATTAAACAACATGATGATATATTTTCTATTAAGTTACAAAAATTGAAAATCAATTTTTAGTTAAATCAAGAGCAGATTAAGGTACTTTTCGAAATTAAGAACAGCTTCCTTTTAAAGTTTTGCAATATGTGCGATATAATGAGTAACATTCGTTCGTGTAAAGTATTGCAATAAGTCTCATTATGTTTATTCAACAACCACTTACAAAATACAAAACTTAAATAGAGCCAACTGTATATATCATTACGTAATAAACATATTACACTTTGTTCTATTTTCAAAATATTTAAAATCACTTTGGATGGTAAGATAACACAAACCGGTAGGGAAGGGTGTATAAGATAATGAGAAAATCCAAAACCAGTTTGCTATTTCTTTTAACGTTGGTGCCCCAACAATTCCAATTAATTTATATCAGTGCGAGCAATACGGTTTTTAACAGGTTAAAACAAAGATAATGGCTACAAGAATTTCCATAGTGATATAACATCTGAGAAATGTTTAAATTATTGTCATATTTATTTTCAACAAACAGATACACAAAAATATCTTGACAAGTTGGTCATTCGTAAAAGTGCTTTTGCACCCATCGCGGAAGGGCAAAGGCAGCAGAATGAACCTCAGAAGAGTAGTACTTCAGATCAATAGCATCGATTTCTGACTTTCCAAGCTTGGGTTTGACAAAGTCTTGATTTTGGTTGAGGGAGCCCATGACGAAGCCAATGTGTCCGCAGGGATAGGAAGGAACAGAGGTGACGGCATAGGCTACTTTAGCGAAGTGCTCCTTGCAGCCCGACATTGTCTTCTTTATGTAGTCCAGATCCAGCCAGAAACTACCGCCTTGAGAGCAGACGATTCCATCGTCTTTCAAAGCGTGCTTCATAAGCTCGTAGTAGCTTTCCTGGAACAAGCTCACTGCGGGTCCAATTGGATCCGAACTGTCCGTGATGATGACATCGAATTCGTTTTTGTGTTTTTTCATGTAGTCGAAACCATCACCGATAGTTAGCTTCAATTTCTCATTCTCGAAACCACAAGCCATTGCCGGCAGGTATTTTTTGGATAGCTCCACAACGCGATCGTCGATCTCCACCTGATGCACTTCCTCTACTAAAGGATGCTTCACGACTTCTCGGGCTACGCCGCCATCACCACCGCCTACGATCAGGACCTTTTTGGGATTGGGATGCGCGCAGAGCGGCAGGAAGGATATCATTTCCTGATACGAGAACTCGTCCCTGGCCGTGCATTGGATAATGCCATCCAAAATCAAGCACCTTCCATAGGTTTCGCTGTAAGAGAATTATAAAGTTATTGATTATTTCAGAGGCAAATCAAATCTGAAAAACTAGCTGGCTGGCTATCAGTTTTTTTTTTCGTTTTTGGCCTTAGATGACTCCATCGATAAGGCTGTTGGTGCAGATCAAGAATAAAAGCAGAATGCGAAAGAGTAGGAAATGCTGTCAAGGCATATTTCAGTTGCCATGGAATTTTTTTGGCTTCTACAATCTTTTTACAAGGGACCTTCAATATAAGATGGGACTTGGGTTATCTCTAGTTTTTAATGCGGCATTAACAATATTTTAATCTATTTTTTTAACAACTTAAAAAAAAAACTTCATAAACCAGATCTAGGCAAAATAAATACTACAGTTGTAAACAATGTCATACTGTTTACCGGTGTTTGTTTATTTTTGTTGTTGGCAACTTACGTTTCAACAATCTGAATGTCCTGGAATTTTGACTTTTCTTTGTGAATTACCTCCTTAACTTTCAAGGAGAATGACTGGCCAGGCCACAGATCGGCCTGCAGTTCGCTGAACCATCCGTTAGTTAGGGAATCCATTTGTTTAATGCGGCATTCAAATCCACGTTTGATAAGATTGACTCAACACGTGCGCTTTTAACGAACGTACCGTATTTTCTACCAAGCTAGGTCTTAAAAAATACCTTTAAAAGGTTAGAAATAGAAATACCAACCAGCTTTTAATTTGATTATATTTTATTTTTATTTATGGACTTAGGTCATGTATTAGATTTTGGCAGATTAACACAGAAGGATTAATAATTAATAATTATTTCTACACGTTTTGTTTACTTGATTTTTTTTTTTACGTATTGGCGAAATGCACAAATTTTTTAACAGTTTTACATTTTATTATTTTTTGTAAAAATCCAAATAAATGTTAAAGTCTGAGTTACATTACTATTAAAAAAAATGTACCTAAGAACTTTAACAAAACGAAACAAATAAAAATTTTTAGGAAAAAAGTGCAATTTTTTAATAGTGGTTCACGGATGATACTACTATATTATATTTCATATTATTAATTTAATTTTAAATTAATAGTACGCAAACGGTCACTTTAGTGTTTCTAACTCCAGCTCAAACCAGTGATAACGGCAGGGCTGCACTGCGATAACGTATCGAAATCATCCCTGATCGGGGTAAAAGAATACGTAGACGCACTTGATTGGCCTGGTTTGGACCAATGAAAACGTTCCAGCGAAACAAATCGTCATATTTGTCGTCCCCCTCCTGCACGCACAATTCAAATGCAATAAATAAATAGTACTTTTCTTGCCGGCATTTAGCATTTAACTTTAAGCGAGTTCGGTCAGCCAGCGAAGTTGGTAGAGTCAGTCACAGTCAGAAAGTAGTGCGGGATCGTTCACATGATGTGGTGCAAAACAGTTATTGTGTTGCTGGCGACAGTCGGCTTCATTAGTGCCGAGGTCTACTTAAAGGAGAATTTCGACAACGGTAAGTAATCGCGGCCCCCCCGAGATTCATTCCCCTCGGCATGTGGTTTTCAATGAAATAAAAAAAACCGCCTACTTCCGCAGAAAACTGGGAGGATACGTGGATCTACAGCAAACATCCTGGCAAGGAGTTTGGAAAATTCGTCCTCACCCCCGGCACCTTCTACAACGATGCTGAGGCCGACAAAGGTATGTGTCACTCCCTTCCATTTCAATGTATTCTTTTTCGTTCTTCCTCCATTTTATTTTTTCGACGGCGTGTTATCTACGTGCTTGTGTAGAGAAAAACCACTACGTGTACGTTTTTACGTTTTCGAGTAGCTATAGTAACCGTATACATATTTTTTTTCTTCTTTTCCCCCCTCCCTCTCTTCGCCTTATTTGTGTACATAGGTATTCAGACTTCTCAGGACGCGCGATTCTACGCGGCTAGCCGCAAGTTCGATGGCTTCTCCAACGAGGACAAGCCCCTCGTGGTGCAGTTTTCCGTGAAACACGAGCAGAACATTGACTGCGGCGGCGGCTACGTGAAGCTGTTCGACTGCTCCCTGGACCAGACTGACATGCACGGCGAATCGCCGTACGAGATCATGTTCGGCCCGGATATCTGCGGTCCTGGCACCAAGAAGGTCCATGTTATCTTCAGCTACAAGGGCAAGAACCACTTGATCAGCAAAGACATCCGCTGCAAAGATGACGTGTACACCCATTTCTACACGCTGATTGTGCGACCGGACAATACCTATGAAGTGCTCATCGACAACGAGAAGGTTGAATCCGGTAACCTGGAGGACGATTGGGACTTCCTGGCCCCCAAGAAGATCAAGGACCCGTCCGCCACGAAGCCCGAGGACTGGGACGATAAGGTGTGTAAATAACTCACGAGCTGAGATTGTTGACGTGCCGGCTTGTTGGGAAAACACCGATTGAAAAACCGGTTTTACCGCATTGTTATTAATTGATATACACACCTACTTATATAGGCCACCATTCCCGACCCTGATGACAAGAAGCCCGAGGATTGGGACAAGCCAGAGCACATCCCCGACCCTGATGCCACCAAGCCCGAGGATTGGGACGATGAGATGGACGGCGAGTGGGAGCCACCCATGATCGACAACCCCGAGTTCAAGGGCGAGTGGCAGCCAAAGCAGCTGGACAACCCCAACTACAAGGGAGCCTGGGAGCACCCGGAGATCGCCAATCCCGAGTATGTGCCCGATGACAAGCTGTATCTGCGCAAGGAGATCTGCACCCTGGGCTTCGACCTCTGGCAGGTCAAGTCGGGTACCATCTTCGACAACGTCCTGATCACGGACGACGTGGAACTGGCCGCCAAGGTTGCTGCCGAGGTTAAGGCCACTCAGGCCGGCGAGAAGAAGATGAAGGAGGCTCAGGATGAGGTGCAGCGCAAGAAGGATGAGGAGGAGGCGAAAAAGGCGTCCGACAAGGACGATGAGGACGAGGATGATGACGACGAGGAGAAGGATGAATCTAAGCAAGACAAAGATCAAAGCGAACACGACGAATTGTAAGGACGTTTAGGGAAAATTACGTCGAAAAATATTCGGTATTTTTTGTGTGTTGGTAACTGCTTTGATGTTGTAAGCAAACGGAAACCACAATTACAATTTGTAAGACTTATAATTTATAAACAAAACTTGTTGTTTTATTCCGGATGTTCTTCGGTAAATTTTTTCTAAGGGGTGGGTACTTTGCTTGTTTATGAAAACTGCGCAGAGCTGCCACGTGCCCAAAAATCACAGCGAGGGGGCAACGCTAAAATGGTATCTATAACGTTTTTTTCAAACGCAGAGCTATGACCCCTTGTAAAGGAAAGTAAAAGATAAATATTTAAATGTATTTGTAAGAGCTGCATGATAAAGCAGTCCAATATTAGCTCATCGAAGTCTCTAGAAGTTGTAGACATTAATGAATTAAAAACAGGCTTGCAATGAAATGATATTAAGAACTGCAGTCAGAAGATAAAGTCGCAAGAACATTTAAACATATCGATTTACGTATTGGATGCAAGTGAACCACTTAAAATTTACTTAAAACATGATATAAATGTATGATTTATGCCTATTCGAATAAACCGTAGTCCTAAGCGTATCCATCGGCAGTTATTGTTCGCTATCACGATGCTTGGCAAGAAGGTGGCGCTTCACGTGATGTTTCTCCCGGAATTCCCGCATGCAGATAGTGCACTTATAAGGGCGTTCGCCTGTGTGACGTCGCCGGTGCTTGGCCAAGTTATTGTTGTCCGAAAAACGTTTGGAACAAGTTGCACATTTATAAGGCTTCTCGCCCGTATGCGTGCGGATGTGAATTATGAGACCGTGCTTTGAGCGGAAGTTTGACTCGCAAAAGGGACAACAGTGAGGTCGTTCGCCGATATGCGCGTTAATGTGCACCTGAAGAGCCGACTTATTGGTGAATCCCACCCCGCAGTATGTGCACTTATGAGGTCCCGGTCTGCACTCCTCAGCGGTGTGGATTAACAAGTGGACCTTGAGATTCTGATCGTCCGGAAAAGTCTGCGGGCAGTAAGGGCACTGGACAGTCCGAAACTTCATCTCCTGGCATTCGTGGCTGTCCAAGCTTTGGGTAGTGGAAAATACCTTCAAGCAAACGGGGCACTCAACGGTGGCATAACTGTTGTGGTAGCACAAGTGCTTATCCAGGTCCGATTTGAATAAAAACATCTCTCCGCAGTTTTTGCAAAAATGGGAGTTGCTGTGAACTCTGTAAACATGCACATTATTAGAACACTTTACAATCTTTGACTAAGTATAGTTACTTCATGTGCTCCTGTAGTTTTCGTTGATGCTTAAACTCTTTGATGCAGATTTCACACTTAAAGGACTGCTTAGTTTTAATATTTTGCTTCCTTCTAGCTCTTATAGTTCCTTTTGGCTTTCGCCTATTCTTTTCAACTGCTATTTTAGGCGATTCTTCTTGGAGAACGGTCTCTGGCTGGCTTTCTTCAATAAACTCCCCCTTAAGGTCCAGATTCTCGTCATAAAGTTCCTCGATGACTAGATAGTCTCCTTCTGGTTCCTCTTTGATGATCTGGGGGTTACTTATCGCCCAATAGAATTTCTGGTAGCTCTCCTCGCATCTCCGCTTAAATCCGTAGGCAGTTCGCGCATCGTGGACACAGGCAATGCAAATTTTTTGGGGCAGTGAATCCCCAGGATCCAATTGCACGTCGGCACAAGACTTTACCATTTCGGCCAGATCAGGCTTCTCGTCTCCTTCAAAATCCATTTGCTGGTGCTGGTCGAAAATGCCCATCAAATTATTCGAGTGGGTGCCACAAACTCGACACAAGTCCTCCATTTTTATTATAAATCAACTTCCAAAGTGCCTTTTTGAGAACTAAGAGTATTTAAAATTAACTAAAAGGAGGTGAAATTTTTGTTTGCTTGTCTGCGGCTATTAGGGATGGACGATATTGACGTGACCGGGAAGTGGATTTAAAAATAGCGGCACTGTGATTTAAAATTTCGGAAATCGATAACACATATTGGTATCGGGTAGTTTTTAGTTCAAATTGCGCGGGTTCCTGGATCCACTAAGTTGCTTCTAGACTGTAGATAAGCATCAATGACCACCCGTATAAGCTAGATTTTTGAAAAACATAAGCTAGAATGAGCTTAAATTTAAATGCCATAAAGCATATTTTTGTTACAAAACAAACTGTTGATGTCGCATATACATATAAAACTAGAATTTGCTAGATTTTTCATTTCAAATAAGCTATATTTCAAGATATAAGCTACATGGAAATTTTATAAGCTTTTCTAGTTTTAAATATGCTAGAATTAGCTTATTATAAGTTAAACTGGCAACACTGATAAACAGATTTCAAACACCAGGCAAACATAATCCACAGCTAGCAACAGATGCATAATAGTGACAACATTTATTAACGGGGCTTATGGCTGGTAGAAAACTTGATCATTTTGAATCGCCAAGTGCCCAGTAGAAAATCTGCTAATTTGGAATCGTCAAATGCCCAGTAGAAAATCTGCTCAACAAAAACCAAAGAAACTTTTCGGCGACCACCTTCTGAATAGTTATGATCGCCTGATGCTTCAAATTTAAATCCCACACTAAGCGCGATCGAGACAGCTGATTTTGTTCGTCAAATCGCTGTGTTTAGATTTCAAACACCAGGCAAACATAATCCACAGCTAGCAACAGATGCCTAAAAGTGACCAGTAGAAAATCTGCAGAAAAACACCAGGCAAACATAATCCACATCTAGCAACAGATGCAAAAGAGTGGCAACATTTATTAACGGGGCTTATGGCTGGTAGAAAATCTGAGCATTTTGAATCGCCAAAGTGCCCAGTAGAAAATCTGCTCAACAGAAACCAAAGAAACTTTTCGGCAACCACCTTCTGAATAGTTATGATCGCCTGATGCTTCAAATTTAAATTCCACACTTCGCGCGATCAAGACAGCTGATCATTTTGAATCGCCAAGTGCCCAGTAGAAAATCTGCTCATTTGGAATCGCCAAATACCCAGTAGAAAATCTGCTCAACAAAAACCAAAGAAACTTTTCGGCGACCACCCTCTGAATAGTTATGATCGCCTGATGCTTCAAATTTAAATTCCACACTATGCGCGATCGAGACAGCTGATTTTGTTCGTCAAATCGCTATGTGTTTAGATTTCAAACACCAGGCAAACATAATCCACAGCTAGCAACAGATGCCTAAAAGTGACCAGTAGAAAATCTGCAGAAAAACACCAGGCAAACATAATCCACAGCTAGCAACAGATGCAAAAGAGTGGCAACATTTATTAACGGGGCTTATGGCTGGTAGAAAATCTGATCATTTTGAATCGCCAAGTGCCCAGTAGAAAATCTGCTAATTTGGAATCGCCAAATGCCGAGTAGAAAATCTGCTCAACAAAAACCAAAGAAACTTTTCGGCGTCCACCCTCTGAATAGTTATGATCGCCTGATGCTTCAAATTTAAATTCCACACTAAGCGCGATCGAGACAGCTGATTTTGTTCGTCAAATCGCTATGTGTTTAGATTTCAAACACCAGGCAAACATAATCCACAGCTAGCAACCGATGCCTAAAAGTGACCAGTAGAAAATCTGCAGAAAAACACCAGGCAAACATAATCCACAGCTAGCAACAGATGCAAAAGAGTGGCAACATTTATTAACGGGGCTTATGGCTGGTAGAAAATCTGATCATTTTGAATCGCCAAGTGCCCAGTAGAAAATCTGCTAATTTGGAATCGCCAAATGCCGAGTAGAAAATCTGCTCAACAAAAACCAAAGAAACTTTTCGGCAACCACCTTCTGAATAGTTATGATCGCCTGATGCTTCAAATTTAAATTCCACACTTCGCGCGATCAAGACAGCTGATCATTTTGAATCGCCAAGTGCCCAGTAGAAAATCTGCTCATTTGGAATCGCCAAATACCCAGTAGAAAATCTGCTCAACAGAAACCAAAGAAACTTTTCGGCGACCACCTTCTGAATAGTTATGATCGCCTGATGCTTCAAATTTAAATTCCACACTTCGAGTGATCGAGACATCTGATTTTGTTCGTCAAATCGCTATGTGTTTAGATTTCAAACACCAGGCAAACATAATCCACAGCTAGCAACAGATGCATAATAGTGACAACATTTATTAACGGGGCTTATGGCTGGTAGAAAACTTGATCATTTTGAATCGCCAAGTGCCCAGTAGAAAATCTGCTCATTTGGAATCGCCAAATACCCAGTAGAAAATCTGCTCAACAAAAACCAAAGAAACTTTTCGGCGACCACCTTCTGAATAGTTATGATCGCCTGATGCTTCAAATTTAAATTCCACACTTCGAGTGATCGAGACATCTGATTTTGTTCGTCAAATCGCTATGTGTTTAGATTTCAAACCCCAGGCAAACATAATCCACAGCTAGCAACAGATGCATAATAGTGACAACATTTATTAACGGGGCTTATGGCTGGTAGAAAACTTGATCATTTTGAATCGCCAAGTGCCCAGTAGAAAATCTGCTCATTTGGAATCGCCAAATACCCAGTAGAAAATCTGCTCAACAAAAACCAAAGAAACTTTTCGGCGACCACCTTCTTAATAGTTATGATCGCCTGATGCTTTAAATTTAAATTCCACATTTAAATCCACAGCAAGCAATTATAATAATTTAAACTAGCATAAGCATTAACATAGTAATTGTAATCATATAATGCAAACTGAAATCGAGAAAACCAACTTCTGTCGAGAATCAGAAGGCATGAAATAGCAATTTTAACGCTGCCGTAAAGTTTATCAGTTAATATATTATAATAGTGAATGGAAACGATATTTGTATACCCTTGCAGAGGGTATTAAAATTTCGGTCAGAAGTTTACATCGTAGTAAAGAAGACACCTCAGACCCCATAAAGTATAAATATTCTTGCTCATCATCACAAAAATTTCATAAAAATCTGACCTTATCATACCTAATACAATCCTCTTCCAAATATCCAAAAAATAGGTTTGCTGAAAATTGACCACAATTCACCAATTCTAAGTCCCTAAATTTTTTAATTTTATTCAGATTTGGAAGTGGGATATCTCTAAAAGATTGTATTTTAATTCTATAACGAACTGCATCTTTAGTTAATTTTTTTTATTTTTTGTCCGATTTTGTCAGTTTTCTTTCATATGGTAGACCGTGAAAGTTTTGACGAATTTAAGAAACAGCTTAGGTTTGACATGAAAGCGGCATTAATTGCCTTAGAAGTATTTTAAGATTGCTTAAACCTTAAATATAATGAATAATTTGTTAACCTTCAAAATGTATGAAAAGATAACATTGATCTTACTTGCTGTTATTTGTAGTTAGTTTGATGTGTGAAAATATAGAATTCGTCGGTTAATTGTATGTTCGCTTAGTTAAGCTTTTTAATCGAAATAAGCTGAGTCAAGAAACCGGCTTACCTGCGAGAACGCCGAAGAGAGGTGGTAAAACAGCTCTCCCCTTTTTTCAGTTCGGTGCTGGCCAAAATTAAGCACCGAATGTGACAAAACGGCGCTCAGTTGTTGAACTAAAATCGAGACCGACGGTCGCATAAACTTGGGCTTGGCATTCACAAAGGCAATCCAACGGACGCGCAGACCTTCGTTTTGAACCCCAACAAAGGCCAATCGATTTGCGTACATAAAGCTCAAAACACTAGCTAGAACATGTTCAAGTTAGCTACAGCTTCAAGCATCCTGCTGCTGATCCTGTCTTTCGGATGGGCAGAGCTCGAAGAAAAGCCTCGGGAAAAGCGTCAGTCGAACAAGGTTTGGTTGCTTTCTAAAGGTCTCATTATATCTGTGGTTTATTTTCTAAATTTCGTTTTTATAATTTAGTTTTTAATATATATATTAATATATATATAATACAATGGATACACTTTTAAAAAAGTTCTAAGTTAGCCGTTCCCTGCAACAAACTCTCATTCTTTTAGATAGATATATAGATATTTTTCTACAAAACTCCAAACTTTCGCTATGCTAATTTCCCTCAAAACTTGAATTTATTTTTGAGTCTAAAATGTATAATTATAATTTATAAATGTGGCTAAAGGTGACCTTATTAACAACACATTTTAACTTAATTGAAAACCAAGCTCTGACTTCTGTTTTCATTTAACTAGTTGTTTAAAACTTAATTGATTTTTTATTTCAGCTGCACGTAACGCTGCTCTACGAGTCCTTGTGTCCGGACAGCAGGAAGTTCATGTACCAATTAGGACCCGTTTACGAAGAGTTCCAGGACTACATTGACATTCTGCTGGTGCCCTTCGGCAAGTCCCTGTCAGAACAGAACGGAGCCATCTTCCTCTGCCAGCACGGACCGGCTGAGTGCAAGGGCAATCGCCTCCAGAGTTGCGTCATCAACAGCACGGGAAACCAGGCGGCACAGGTGAAATTCGTGGTGTGCCAAATGCTGGCACCGGATGCCTCCCGCATCGATAAGGTACATATGGTATATTTGCCCAATTGATTAACGAGTATTATGCCAATGATGCGCCCATCACTTGCCATCCGCAGTGTGCCAGGGAGGCGGGTCTGCTCACCGATGTGGACCAATGTGTGTCCAGCGAGACGGGCACCAAGCTGCAGCTGCAGGCGGAGCTGGTGACCAAACAGTACAGCCCGAGCTTCATTCCCACCATCGTCTACAATGGCGTAAGTTGCCGCGATCGATCGATCGCCATTGCCGTAATCGAATGCACTCAACTGGTTTTCGTACTCGCTTTTCGTTTCCACCATGCAACAGGTCTTCGATCAACAGCTGCAGGACCATTCGCTCCACGATTTCCGCGGCACCGTTTGCTATTTGTTGCGTCAACAAAACTCGCTGCCCAGCAGCAGCACAATCTGCCAGTAGATCTGCTAAATGTTCAATGTAACTGCTTCAAGATTGGAATGAAATTAAAATTCACAAACTGGTTTCTTCAGCCGAACAAGAATGTCTCTCTGCCGGGGGATTGAAGTTGATGTATTCACATGTGAAACAAGAAGGTCACAGAGAAAAATCACTACAAAATGGGTTCAATTTTGTTCGTACATAATCTTTAAAAATAAGTTAAATGGTTACTCATTTTGTTCAGTATTTAAAACTTTATTTGGATAAGAAAATCTGACCAATTTCGTTCACATTTTTTCTCTGTGCCGCACTTATTGTTCAGATAATAATTTATAATGGTTCGTAAGATACAGTTCATCAATTACAATCGTGTAAGTATATATAGTACATGCAGTGCTTAGGGCAACTAGTTTATTTACAGGGGCGTACAATATAAATTCATTACTTTTTGGAATAGGGGGCACAGAATCGATGATGGGATGGATGGGCAATGGGGAATGGGGGAATATCGTTAGGTTTTCCTCTCGATGAACCAACAACAAATGACTTAATTGGCTAAGGGCTAATCGCTATAACTAAAACTAGGCTTTCAATTTCATGCACTTTGTGTGTTTGCTGTGTTCGCTGACGGGTGTGCAGAAATAACAATTTGTAGACGGTGTTTCGGTTTTTCGGTTATCCGTTGTGATTAAAGCATTTCCCTCAAACTCAAACTCAAACTGCGGTGCCAGGAGTCTTCGGAGCGGATGAGCCCACCGATCCACCGGTGGTCGCATTCAAGCTGAGCGATCGACGTGGAGCCGGCTTCGGTGGAATCTGCGGCTTGACCGGCGCGATCTTGGCCAGCGTTAAAGTCGCCTCGCTGATCAGTGGCTGCTGGTGGCTGGGTCGCTCCTTCTCCTGGAACTCTACATAGCCGCTTTCGTCGCTGTCGGAGTCCTCGGCCGGATGGTCACTCCTCGCCTGCGTGTCCAGCTCATCGCTTCCGGAATTGCTGCGCTTCAGCGTGATGCTGCTCGAGCTGCTGTAGTTGGTGGCATCGCCGCTGCCGCTGCTGTTGCGCAGCTGCTGCTCCAGTCTTTGGTAGATCATCATCTGCTCCAGCACCTGCGCCTGCTCCAGCTCCAAGTCCTGCAGTTGCAGCTGCGACTGCTCCAGCTGGGACCCGGCATCACTGTCCCTCTTGCTGCCACTGTAATCCTCGTGATTGGCGTTTGTGACTGTGCTGGCCGTCTCGCAGCCACTCGAAATGGATCCCTCGTCGCTGTCCGGACTGGCCAGTCCCTGCTGGGCGGATCCCCCGCCCCCCGTCGCCGCCGAAGTGCTGGCCGTCGTCGAGCTGGACGCATTCGAGGAGATCGATGACTGCGCCTGGTGGCGATACTTCAGGCTGGCCTCGTTGCTCGCCCGCATCTTCCGCATCGAACTGCGGTGCAGCATGGTCAGCATGGCGGCGTGCCGGAAGTAGTGATCGTCCGCATCGTCCAGGAAGTCCTCCTCGCCGTCGCTGCAGACGCCACTGCGTCGCTGGGCGGGCACATCGTGCTCCTCGCCACTGAAGTCCGCCTCCGGATCTGCACTGGGATCGGGGTTGATGGTGGGCAGCAAGCTGAGCGGCTCGCCCTCCTCCTCCACCTCCTTCAGGTCGCTGAGGCTCACCATGCTCTGGCTGCTGTTCTTGTGCAGCTGCATGTCGAAGTACGGCAACAGCTCGTTGCTCAGGGTCGTGTCGAATTTGAGCAGCTTCTCGAAGTCATCCGAATCGGAGCCGTCGCTGATGGGACCGCCAACGGCTGTCATCTTCTGTGCCTCCTCCTGCGGCAGCTCCTTGGCCATGTGCGAGCTGCAGCAGGGCGAGAAGGCCTGGATCTTTCCAGTTCTCCTAATGGAGTGACCGCGACGACAGCGACGCCTGCCCAAGGTCATGGCCGGGTAGAGGGAGTCCTTCTGGCAGCAGGGCATCATCTCCGGCTCGTTGGTGTCCTCGATCTCGTCGCCCTCCTCCTCGCCGATGGCCTCCTCGATGGCCATCAGCTTGGGCGCCGACTTGGAGCGCTCCAGCGGCGGTCGATAGTTGTTGCCGCCCACACTCAGCATGATCTTGCGGCGCGGCAAGCTCGGATTGTCGTAGACGGCGTTGGCCAAACTCAGGCGAGCGTTCTGCTTCAGAATTTTCTCACGTTTAAATTCGCGCAAAGCGCTCTCCAGGTTCTCCTAGGGGCACGAAGATAAGGAAACAGGTTAGCCATGGATTACATAAGATCATACATGCGATAAGAACCTGCAGGAATGGCCGCTTTTGGAAGTCAATTCTGCTTTAAGTTTAATTAAGTTTCTCATGGGAAAAACTCACTCAAGGAAGCACAAAGGCTTCAGATAATTAAAACATGCTTGTGATAAGCAATAAAAACTGCACTTAACTCTGACGACGATATTTAAATTTGTCATGCTTTTCAGAGATTGTGCATAATTGCGAAACAAAAAGTACCTGATAAAAATAAAACGTTCGTCATCTTTAGTGATTAACTTAAAATACGGAACCACTTGAGTTTAATCAGCGCCTTAGAGAACTTTTAGGGCAAGAAAAAAGAGTTAGTAGCTAATATTAGACCACTCCTGCAGATCTTAAGCCACTATATAGTTCCAACTCACTCTTAGGGTGTCGCAAATGTCCTGGGCGATCTTCTCCTTGCTGCAGAGCACCGCATGGCACCGCAGCTCGTGCTTCAGCTTCCTGCCCTCGTGCCGGTAGATCCAGCAGAAGACCCGCGGATAGTTCTTCGGGGCGCAGCAGTAGGTGATCCTGTGGGCCCAGTACTCGGTGAGTCCGTGCTGCCTGGTGGTGGCCTTCAGGCCGGAAGCGCACACCTTCAGCCGCATGATCACGTCCGGTTTCGAGTGCTGCGTGTAGTTGCGCCACAGAGTGTTCAGCTGCTTCTCCACACAACCCTCACCTGCTGAGAGTACAATATTAGCAATGATTTATGAGTATCCCACGGATTAATATCCCGTGACTCACCCTTGGCCCAGCCGGTGAGGACGTTTCCCAGATAGGACACCTTGAACTCCGGATCGGGGGTGCTGATGTCCACGCTGTGCGTCCGCCTCCAGAGTTTTCCCAGGCTGCGGGTGAGCGTGCGAATGGCCTTCGAGCTGAGCTGATCGTGCTGCTCCTGACCCCCAGTGCGACCCACATGCTCCTGCCGACTGCCGTACAGCAAGTCCCGCGAGTCCGTGGTGAGCGTTATCACATTCGTGACCTTCACCGAGTCGTCCTCGCCAGCTATGTCGCCGTCTTCCTTCGAGACTCGCTTGAAACGCTCCAAGTAAGGACCCGCTCGACCACGCCTACCGCTGTACGTGTTGAACTTGCCGCCCTCGGCGCCCGCCAATCGCTTCTGCTCCTGCTTCTCGAACTTCTTGGCATTGTAGGTGTTGCCCAGCAGTCTGGCCAGGCTGTTGCTCTTCACAAACTTGTGCTGACGCGGCGGCGTTCCAATGGGAACCGGTGGCAGAGGAGCAGGGGATGTGGACTGCACCGGGGGAGTGTCCTTGCTGCCCGCATCCTGGCTATCCTGTGACTTGCTCTGACTCAGCTTCTTGCTGCTGCTGCCAAAGTGGAAGAGGGTGCGACGCTCCTTCGCCTTTTTCAGGGTGTTGCTGTTTGGTTCGTTGTTTGGTGTTGCTGCTGTTGTTGTTGCTTGTGTTGCTGGTGTTGCTGCTGCTTTGGTGTTGATCACCGCCTGACTCACACTGACCAGATCCTCGTAATCGTTGTTGTTATTGTGAGTGGCCACTATAAAGTCAACCTCATCACATCCCTCCGAGTTGTGATCCACTGGTGTTGTGGTGTTGCCGTTGTTGCTGGCTGCCATTTTGGGTCGTGTTGCTGATGTAACCGATCGGTTTCCGTTTATTTAAAGCATTTTACAGAAAATCTGCAAGCGAAACAAGGATAAAAATCAATACATTAAGAACTCATCACATAAAAATTACTAAAAAGGTATAAATTGGCCTGTTAAATCTTAATTGCTTAATAACTCCTTTTGGGAATCACATTTGAGAAAATTATCAAGCCCCTGAATTAGAATTTATATAAAAAGCAATCGACCAAGGGAAAATTACTGAGTTAAACTCTGCTTAAATTTTTTTTTTCAATATTATTGTGAACATTTAAGTTGTCATAAATAAATATTCAGTGATTAACTTTTTTTTATTTCCTTCGTGTTAGTTGTATTTTTATATAATTTTCTTTTATGCAAATGCCATTTTAAAACTCACAAAAATAGTTTTCCTATGAAAATTACAACTTTGGCATAGCCACGAGATCCAAAACTCAGTTTTATGTTTGTAAATTAACACACTTTTATTGCTGGTTTTAGGAATGAGTGTTAGGCGGTTAAATTTGACATTCAAGCCACACTTTCACCCATCATCGGAAACAATTCGCACTCGCCGGCTTTACCACAAATTCACACCCGATTTCGAGTGTATTTTTCCGCAACTGCGGCCAAAAAGTGTCAACTGACTAATAAATTACCCCATGATTAACACTCAGCACCAGCTGTAAATGTTTTTTCCTTTCGGTCTCGTGTGTTTTTATTTTTTTCGCACAGCTTACAATATGCAAATGTTTACGGCATTATAATTACTATTTTTTCCCATTTGCACTGTTTCTGTTTTGCCGTGTTGGCTGGAAAATGCCGCACGGCGCCTCAGCCTTTTGTGCTCTTAGCATTTTCACATTATTTGGATAGCGAATTGTTTGCTAAAAAGCCAGTTAAAGATGCAACTATCAAGAGTCATTAAGTACGGGTATTAAATGCCTGAAAAGCACTTAGACGGCGCAATTATGGGTCGACAAAGTCAGCTGTGTTCGTTCGTTCGTTCGGTAGATTTTCCATTCGGTTACCTGGATGTATAATATTTAGTCGCACTGAGAAGCGCAATTAAAACACAATAAAGTGAGGCAAACACCTCCGTTTACACGCCACATCACGATCCAACTAAACTGAACTGATCTGAACTGAACTGAATCGAAGGTCCAAGTTTCCCGATCAACCACTCACGTACTCAATCGACGATGGTGGCGATTAGAGGCCTAGTTAACCTCGAAGATCCATCGCTCTCTGGAGCTGGCGAGTTGGTCTAATCGCGATGAGGTGCCTTGGCCAACTGCAGGCGCGGTCTAGTTATCTAATCGCGTTGGCTATTTGGCGGTTCTGATTTTTATGGCCAACTATAAAGGCTGCAGACAGTCAGTCAGTCGTGCTCGTGATTTACAAATAAATAATTATTAAGCTGTTCTGCGGAATGGAATTTATGGTAATTTACGGGCAAGTGGACAGCGATCGCCGGGCGGAGCGAATTCATAGGAAGTCGACACCCGATCCGATCCGATCCGATACCAAATGCGATTTGTCGATATGGCCACGGCTAACTGTTGTGGCCCAGCCTCTTGGCCTCGGACAAAAGGCAATTTGGTTGGGTCTACGGTCTATGGTCTATGGGCATATCATTAGCCATTTTTCCTATGCAATGACCTTGGCTGTCTGCAGGTGTCTTTGGGGATTCGATAAAGTCGCTGGCTTTCACTTTTTCCCATGCCGCCTCCCCTTTTTATGCATTTATGTTTTATGTTTATGTTTTTCTCTGTGTGTGCTGCTTATATGTTAATGCAAATGTTAACCCATTCATAGATGTGAGAAAGCCCAGTAGCTTCGCCACCCCCGACCATCTTGGCTGATCCCTTGGGGCAATGACATCGCCATCGTCATCGCAATCGCCATTGCCATTGTCACTCGTTTTCTCCGCCTTGTAAGAGCGGGCAAAGAAAGCGCGCTGAATTTGTAAGAAAAGGTAAACAGCAAGGTATTTAAAGTCCAGAAAATAATAAAAAAAAATCGGACAAAAACTTAATAATTGTTTTGTAGAGGTTTTGCCCTGCCCTGCCCCACCCATTATCATTTATGCTTCGCCTTCTACTTTTGAATGGCCCGTCGTCTTTCCCCTTTGTCCATAATTGCAAGCCTCGCATTGTGCGTGAGCGCGCATTTTAAGAGCCCAGCTCACATTAAATGGAATACGAAAATTAAATACAACAAAAACCCAACGAATCATATAAGAAAAACCAAAAAAAAAGAGTGAAAAAAATAATGCAAAAAGCGTAATGAGGAAGTGTTGCCAGGTGGACAGTTTGGTGTGCAAAATGTTAATATCCGACTACGGATGCCAGGAGCGGTTCAAGACCTCGAGGGCAATTCGGTTTCACGAGGGAGAAACTTAACTACTTCCTCTGCAAGCGATGTGGTTAGTGGCGAAGAACTTTTTAGCCCGGCCAATAGATATTTAATGGCATGAAAGTGACACTGTAATTTGCTGTCATCATTAATAAATTAAAAAACTTTTACTTAATACAACACATTCGCGTGCATTTCTGCAACTCTTCCCTTGGCAACAACATCCGATCACTTTTGATTGATCATCGTATCTGATAATTAGGTAAACGCTTTTATATTATTTATTTGATATTTCTATTTCTGTTCTCGGACACATTTTCTGTCCAGTTCTTTTGTCCAGTTTTTGAATACAATGTCTGGGAGAGAAACTGCCCAGTCATTTATCAAAATTTATTTTAAGACATTTGTGTTCTTTTTTTCGGCTGCTAACAGCTAAATTTGCCTTCGCTTCCCAAACAAGAGCTGGGATCAGCGTTTCCCAGGCTGCTTAAAATGCAAAAGCCACAGAAACAACATCGGAGCTATTTGTTTAGAGACCAAACACTTGAAAGTTCTCAATAGGCCATTCCACGGCGGAGTTGAACACAAAATGCAATTTATTATGGTTAGGAACTTACCGCCGAGGGCCCGCAAAAGATATACAGTTAAGCTTCAAATATATGGATTTGAAACAACTTTAAGAACAAAAAAAATATGTAAACATATAATAAATAATTATTTTTAGTTATAAAAGGAATAGTTTACATGATATTTACAATCTCAAACAGAGAACTCACTGGTTCTTAGAAAAGCTGTAGTTATTTTCAAGCATATGGCATACGGGTTTCCTCTACAGAAGCTCCACTTTAACCGAATACCTGTAGTTGGGAGCTCAGGTGCACCGATTGGTAGTTGTTGGCGGCTTGTCTAGCATAAACTGTGTCAACTGCGAGTTTGAAAAGTTGATTCTTGTGTTTACTTAGTGTGGGCCCCACTCGCACATAAATATCAATTTAGCCATGGTCCTCTGTGTGTGGCTTCCCCCCTCGATCCCTCGATTCCCCGACCCCCCGATTCCCCTCCAATGTCAGGTTAAATATGTAAATCGTAAATTCTGAGTTCGCTGAGTCGAGATCTCGGACTCAGAGTCGTGGCTCCAGCACCCAAGAATGTCTCAAAATAAATACGAAAAAAGTGACTCGCAACTAAATTAATCAGTTTCGCAATTCGTACTCGCCAGATATTTTTATTTTTATTTTTTGGGCATGTGTGTCATGTGCGATTGTGGCCAGCGAAAACGCTTGAGGAGATTGGGAGAATTCTGAGGAGTCATATAGAGAGTGAGTTGAAGGAAGCCTTTCTGCCGCTTTTGTACGTGCGAACGCATTGGAATGCATTTAATTGAACGATTGAATAAACTATAATGTATGGCATAAATTTGTATAGAATTGTATTCTCGATAATTGATTGGCAACACACACCTCAGAGCCAAACAAAACCGGGTTTAAGCCAGCATCGGTATTGTTATTATTCAGTAAGACAGTGGGTAGATCACCGAGGGGAGATCAATTCAAAAATCTGGGAAAATGACATTCTTGCAGGTAGATTTAAAAACTGAAGAGAAATGAAGAGTATTATTTAAAAATATTAAATGAGCCTATAAATAAAAGAAGAGATAAAGGTTAAAACGTTGATTTGAGAAGTTATGTGGCTTGAATTAATCATAATAAATGCGGGTTCACAAATGGTTTTCTAAGAACATTTTATTCGCATAATTCCGCCATTACAAGCAATCATACAGGCCCATCTATTCGGATAACACATCCACCTCCATAACCTTCCGTTGCCAACTCATTTTGGAAACAAATTAACAATTCAGTTCTCATCTCACAGTGGAACAAAGGAACAAACAAATGACATTGACATTCGCTTGCTTTTCTTCATTTCTTACTTTTTTTCGGACCACTCACTGGTGATAAAGAAAAATTCCCGTGAATTCGGTATTAAAGCTCAAGCATCTTAGAAGGTAATTAATAGTGTAAAAACCCCCCACAATTTGCTTTAATTTTGTTTATAGACAGATCATAAAGTAAATTGTGCCATAAACACAAACTTGCCGGCAAAAAAGTGTGCAGAAAGAACAAAAACTTGGAGAAAAATGATAGTAAGTCGCAAAGATATGTTTTATAGTAGTGTCGGACATCAGAAGCTCACAAGATTTACGAGAGTACTATATGTTTTCGCTTTATGGGGTCTGCGAAGAGCAGAGGGGCGCCAACTTTAATGGGGCTCAAAAGTTGAACCAACAAAATATGTTGCTACCGCTTTGTTATTGGGCTAATTGAGTTGAAGTAGCCGCAGCAGGTTTTTCGGTTTTACAAATTATATATATTTTTATGCCTGCGTAATTCTCCTTTTTCGTTTTAAAATTTCTTGCCTTTTTTTGAAAGTGAATGCCTTGACATCGTTTTGTTTACATTTCGTATTTTATTTTCGCTCTTTTGTCCAATGAAATGAAGTCGAAAACTTTATTGAATATTCCAAAGTGCAATCGCGAGTTAGCTTTTTGAATTCTCAACTATAATTTATTCATATTTGCTTGGCAGAATACAGAACAAAAGGCTTTTAGGGAGACAAACAATGGAGCTTAAAGAGAATTATCTGCCTAAGACTCGGCAAATATTTATGCATAAAAATTATTTAATTAAAGTGCCCGGGGC